ATGTATGTATTATTAACAATACCGGTATGGTTCGATTCTCAGAATAAATGTAAATAGTCATTATTTAATACAGTGTAGTTGTTTCTATTGGTTTTGATGTAATAATTTTGTTTTAAAATTAACTCATTCAAAAACGAGAAAAAAATGACAGAATAATTATTTTAACATTGGTGGAGGAAAAAACGTCAAATAAGTTACATGGAGTTGATTAAGTTATAATTGAATAACTCGTATGATGTCATATGTATAAATACAAACGTTTTTATACATACTTTTTTTGGTACAATATCCATGCGTAAAGTAAATTGTACTCGTAATCAATAGCAATTGATGTAAAATGTATACAATTTTAATTCATTGTCTGTATGTTGTTATCAATTGAATCATAAAATACTCGTATAAGTACCATTAAGACTGTGATTCATTTTACATATTGTTAATTATTATAATGAACAACGAAAACTAAAATTTATATATATATATTTAAACCAAATATTACTCATCATCTCTACATCTCAAAAACGACAGATTGTATGAACTTGTAATTTGACATAGTGGTTCCACTGACACTCTAGATGTGCAATAAGAGAGGATTTTCCAAAATTCAATCCCTAAGGGGGTAAAAAGGAGTAAAAACGAAAAGTAGAAAATATAAAAATATCACCTAGCCGTAGCATAAACGTACTATAAAAAAAACATAAAATATTGACTAGGCATACATACAAAATTAAAAAGTTAAATAGTATTAATATAGGGGTAAGTGATATGAAATTTGTTTGAATCTATGATATAAATGGTTGATTACAAGAAAGAAGAAGAAGAATTAACGTAACACAAGAGAATCTGTTGGGCTCAATATTATTTTCCAGAAATAACAATAAATAAATAAATGATAATCTATTTAAAAAAAAATATAAATATAACTCATTCGTTGATCATCACCACATCTAAAAAACGACAACATTTATAAATTTTAAATTTGAAAATATGGTCTCTCCAGTACTCCAAATGTGTAATAAGAAGGGATTTAAACGATTAAATATAATACCCGATGATTCAACGTACAACCAAAACTACCGTACCGATTCCTTTGAAATGTCGTTTTATTTGTTTTATAACCAACAGTTACATCAAACTAAACTTTATATACTGTAAATTAAAAAAAAATCCATTAAAAAACATGTCCCGGCCAAGACTGTTCCGTGCGAAGCACGGTAATTCATCTAGCCTTTCAATAAATTATCAAACGGGTAATACTCGTAAATTAATATAAAAATAAATAAACAAATAGTTTATACATAGAAATAAATAAATAAATAAAAACTTAGACTGGAGTCTTATTATATTTATAAAGTACGACTGGTTAAAATTTAAAAATTCATCGTCAGGTATATAAAAAAATTTAATAAAATCGCGACTTGATATGAAAAAATAAAAGCTAAAAATATGCTTTTATTTATTTATTTCTATGTATAAATTGTTTATTTTTTTATTTATATACTCGAATTATATTAAAGATTTAGTCTTTAGGTCTTTATTTGGATTAGGTTAGATAGATTATCTTTATTAAGATTTTATCTGTACTTTATCGTATCGACCGGTCGCCAAAAAGACACGATTAATTACATCAAGTAGCTCAGGTACCACGAAAAAAAATCCAATATAACTATATGTACCTGTTGGCTATTCTCTTGAATATACGATTTCAATAACTATGTATTCATCACGCTATTAAATAATTTCGATAACACAGTAGCATAGGAAGACTCGCTAGCGCCCCTAAAAAACTTAGAAAAAAAACGCTTTTTAACCAATTCAAATTTGATGTTACGATATTTTTTTTAACCTTTAATTTTACTAATTTTTTTTAAGTACACAATTTATATTTATAAGTTATTATTACAATATTAATTTTAAACTTTGAAAATTTGTTTTTCTCGCTCTATGAATAGCAAATTCATCGATAATTTTTTTTTATGAAATTTTTTATTTCAATGCCCTTGTGCTATTTTCAAAATTTTATTATTAAATTCACACCTAGTGTGTACAAATTGATAACATCTACGTGTTTAAAAAAGTATAATGGAAAAATTTTGATTTGATTGTAGGATAAAATACGAGTTTACACAATTTTACGCCCCTTTGCAATTCACGCCCTAGCGTAGGCACAGTTCGCCATACCACTGCTACGCCACTACGATAATAGTCAGTCGCGATTTTCATAAACAATAGTTATTTCAAACAACTCATGTTGTCCGAAGCATTGTTTATGATTCATCAATTTCATTTTTTCTGAGATCCGCCAAACGACACCTATACGGTTCAAGCTCATGTGCATTTTATCGTCCAGCAATTATTTGAGTATCGTCATTATTGACTAGTCGCCAGACAGTCGAAGCGATTAGTCATTGTTGACTCCGCGAGTTAAACGATTCTGTATAATATTACTCATTAAATTCGACGACGTTTGATTTACGGCCGTTGTAAGATTGAGAAACACAAGGTACGTCGACAACAATGGCACGTGCACAATCATAGAATTCTCAGTAAAGAGTTGTGCTGTGTAAAGGTGGTTTCAGAAAAAAAAATCTTATTAAAAGCAAGCAATGTAAGTATACAAATATGTAGGATCTATTAACCGCAGTGATCATTATGTTGGAAAATATAACTTGAACGTTTACGTTTTAAATATTTAACATGTTAATGGGACGAGATGATCATATATTTTAGATATTTTTATCCATTAAAAATAAATAAATAATAACTTTTTGGTATATAAATAAATAGTTTAAGTATAGAAATAAATAACTAAATGCTTAGCCTAGAGTATTATTATATTTATAAAGTATACGACCGGTTACGAATTAAAAATTCACCGTCAGGTATATATAAAGTCAATAAAATTGCGATTACCTTTGTTGATGCTATTTTTTACTATAACAAATTTCTAGGATAGAAATCTGTAGAAAATCAACTAATTATTGGACCAGAAAAAAATACAAGTATATTAATCTTCAAGTGGCTGTCGAAAAGATTACCAAAAAAGCGTAATAAGGCAACCGATAGAACGTAGTTGGATTTGGATTGCTGCATTAAGTTAAACACGTATGAACAAAACCCGAAAAAATACAAAATTAAATCTCTATTTAGCGCATATTTCTGTATCACGAACATATGTGTCTCCGTTCGCCCGAAGAAGAAGAAGAAGAAAATCACCAACATTAGTATATCACTAATATTTTTCACCAAAGCCTTTGGGTTGCGTTTTTTGTGTGTACGACAAAATGACGTGAAACTTTTCACGTCATTTGGACAGAGCGCATTCGTAGGTAATTCATAATGTAACGAACGGAACGTAACAATAATACTATACGACAATCAGGGCCGTAGCAATAAAATATTGCGACCGGTGTGAAACTTCAGAATACGTATTTTAATATATAAAAAAAAACTGAATATTTTTTATAAATTTAATATAAATAATGATTTTTCCTTACAATTATGTAAGCGTTAGTTGATTGTATTTAAATCAATAACTAATTAAAATATAAATATACATAATAATTATAAGTAGGTTAGTTTTATTTAGTTACTCTACGCGGTATAATTAGTGATTTGACTAATATTTTATTCGACTATCTAAGAAATACTTCATATATAAATTCATATATAGTTTCATCAAACTGATGAAAAATTAAACAATTTGGCATTGTTATCAATAGAGAATGGCGAGTTACAAAAATTACATTTTAAAGGTTAAATCGAAACTTTTGCTACTACCAAATGCCGACGTAGACCAATAAAATTAACAATTATCATATCCAAGTTTGAAGAATGTATTTTATTTATTTTACGTAGTTATTAATTATTAATTAAAAAATGTTAACCCTCTAGAAATTATGTTTTATTATTTAAATATAATTTTTTACTTAATTAATGTATATTTAATTAAAGTAAATGATAACTTAGTGACCAAATTATTAAAAATTGTACACAAAAAAAAAAATAAATATACTATTTATAAAATTTTGATCATAAGAAATCAAAAAAGTAATTTATAAATGACAATATTCCATATGCTTTTATATCTTTCGTTAACTTATGTTTGTGAAAGCTTATTCGCCATAAGGAATTAAATTAAATCGAAGGAAAGAAATGTTTTGATCGATGAAACAATCGCTACTTGTGTTTCACTAAGATGACCAAAATTTAATAAAAATAACGAAAAAAATGTATAATTAATTTTTGTTTTTATAGTCTTCGGACACTTGAACGATTTTCAAAATCTTAATTGGAAAAATTTGGCACTTGAACCAAAAACGGTTCGTCGACCCTAACTAAGTCTTAATCTAGTATTTTAGTAATTGAGGGTTGCAATTTTTCACAGGCCTACAAGCGGGAAAACACGTAAATACGCCTATGGCCATAGATATGTACAGTCAAAACTGAGCCGATGTTACGAACAATCAAAACGTCCGTTGGGTTACACGAAAAAAAAAAAAATGTTCAGCTGCACCGGAGAGAATATTCTCGAGTAAGATCAGCTAGCACAGAGGAACATTTTAATGGGTTAGCCGTAGAAAATATCAACAAAAAAAACAAGAACTTTTTCGACCCCCCCCCCCCCCCCCCACAATAGTAACATTGAAAATCTGCCGCGCACGGGTAGCACGACGAGACGGGAAAATTACATTATTCTCTACGCACGTTACGGGATACGTATACGAAACGTATTACGAAGACGAACACCGTTCACGCACCGTCGAAAACGGGCAACGGACGACGACGAAGAGTCCGGGCAGTGCGTGACGAGGTAGGGAGAAGGGTGCGAGGAGGAGGAGGAGGAGGATGAGAAATAATAATAGCCGTGTGCGTGCACGTACACTGCCGCCGGTGCTAAGGCGGACGAGCGAGTGGGCGGGGGACGCACCGGATAGCCTTGGCCGTGGACAGTGCACCGGGACGCGATCGACGCGATCCGGACGGCAGCGGCGCAACAGCACGTATGCATACTAAGTAGTACGGTCGCGAGTGCGCGAGATAGTATTTCAGTAGCAGACGGTCGCTTTTAGCAGCGAACAATAACAAGCGTTGTCGAGTGTTCGCGATAGTGTCCGCCGCCGCCGATCCGAGCACAGATCACGACGTGTACCGCCGAAACATGTTCAGCGGAAAATGCACGAGCCAGGCCAGGTTGGACGGCAAAATCGCCATCGTCACCGGTTCGAACACGGGCATCGGAAAGATCACCGCCAAAGAGTTCTACAGAATCGGTAACGATGACGTGAAAACGTTCACGGAATACCTTTGATCGAGGGGGGGGGACGATACGGATGGGGGCAGGGGGGACAAGTTTCGTGGTGTTCGACGGGACGGCCTTGAACTTTTCGAATGGTTTTTTTTTTTATCACGCCGACGGGGTGCGTGATGCGCGTGGGGTACATGCATCGCCCCGGTGTAGTCTCCGGTGAATCGTGATTTTCCTAAGGGTAACGTAATTCAATTTGCTCCGGGGTGACGGTTCTGTGCGGCACCGAACACGATACGCCCATGATATGATAACATATGATCTTGAAACAACACCTTCGACGCGATAACATCCGGACGTTTCCCCTCTCCCACCGTACAGTCCCTCCAAGTGACGCGTTGGCAAAGGTTCGCTCGCCAGACCCGATGACCCCTGAACACGTCAGATCGGATCCAGCAGTTACATCTATCATTATTGTTATCTAGTGCTGTGGTTGGACCGTCGTTTGTCACGTGCTCACATGAAGTACCTTCTCCCTGTTCCCCACACCAACCGGCACACGGAGACTTTTACTCTCGTCGAACATCGTAATCGGATTATTTTTTAACATATTTAACGTCGATTTTCGATCGTTCGACTCTCCCGAACCGTTCCGATCGAGTTCTGCCGTTGCACGCGGCAATGATGAAAGGTCGCGCGTCTGCACCCAAGTCGTTTTCAGCACCAACACTATTTCAATGTTATTGTTCCGCTGCTGTCTGTAGCGTTTTTCGAAATACTCCGCACGTATCGTGATTTGCGATTTCCCGTGAACGAATTTGAACGATATAGTGTCACACGAAAATAACAATCTCAATCGTTCGTAACGATTAAACGAATCGATACGTTGACGGCCATTCTAATACAATAAATGCTTTATACACCACCCTCTCCTTGACCCGTGGACGAACGTACACGCACTGGCCCCGGGGGACATTTTCAATTTCATTGCTGCCGTCACCCCAAGTGACCCCGGTGACCGGACCGTATTATTGTGTGTGCATCGTAATTAATGATAAATTATACGATCGATTCTTGGCGATTAAATACGATTTCACGATATCATAATGTCCCGTATGCGTGTAGTCGATAAGAACGATTTCGGATTTAATATCGAGTTCGAAACCGATAGACGAAAAGGCTCGTTTATAAAACAGTAATATGCATTATACAGAAAACTTTCGATCGTTAACGATTGTTATTATTATTAGGACGTGGTCGACTTTATCATGGTTTAATTATAATATCGAGCATGACGTATTAGATTACATCGAAAAATATACGTCTCATGGATGTACAACCAACGCGTACAAAATGAAATCAAGCATTTCGTTGTACCTCGCACGTATACTAGGCATATTATAGGTATTTACGTTGATGCGTAACACGTTATCACGTTGGTAAACAACCGTTATCAATGCTGCCTGGATTAATGTTAACCTACTTACGGTTGTATTTTCAAAAGGCCACTACACACTTCGATTAATATTTAATGAATCCCGTCGATAATCAAATATTTACAATCCAATAGGGGAATATCGACGATTTCGAGACCCTAACGGATGGGGTCACTCGATCGTTTAAATGTACATGATTACGGGTTATTTCACATTTGGCAGCATTTAGAATTTGACGGGGGCATTTTATTGAATTCCAGATTGCACCCAATAAGATCGTTCAAAATTGATATCTATGCAGTGGCGTGTCCAGGAAATTGGTATTGGAGAGGATTTCATAAATAAAAATGTATTATTTTCAATCTTTATTCTTTATTATTATACGAAAAAATGCAATCAAGGCGGAAATTCATTTTCAGGCTTTAAAACTAAATTCATTAATTATTTGTTCTGTAGATAATGGAATGTCTTGATGTATGTTCATTAACGCCAATCCATTTAACTATGACTACACCGTCGTATTTCTTAAATTCGTTTTTAAACGTTTTAGACTAAAAAAAAAAAGTCATATCCCCCTGCGCACGCAACTGTATCTATAAACCACTGCGTCCAAACGTGTAAAAATATCGTGTTATGTAGTCGTAAGTTGCGCAGCGTTGCATACAATTATATAATTAAAAATATATATTGATTAAAATATAAATTATACAAAGAAACGACGAATAACAATAGTTTTATTATACGCCTTATGCGTTCGATTAGGTACTCCGATAGTCGACTGATTGGCCGTATGTTTTCCAATTCCAGGTGCTAAGGTCATAGTGGCGTGTCGAGACGTTAAAAAAGCGGAACAAGCCGTGTCGGATATCGTAGCGGACGTGAAAGGTGACAATGTCGGACAATTGGTCGTGGAAGAATTGGATTTGGCATCTTTCGCGTCTATAAAACGTTGCGCGAAAAGTATTCTGCAGAAAGAAAAAAAAATACATCTACTGGTCAACAATGCCGGTAAATTCGCATGCGCGTATTTGTAATGGTATGCAGTGGCGTACACAGGATTTTTTAATGGGAGAGGGACGTTAAAAATAAATAATTATTCAACTGATACAAGATATAGTTTAAAATAAAGTAGGTGCTTTCTTAGTTATTACTTACATTATGCATAAATATGATAACTAATGTAAAAATATTTGTGATAAAATACAATTTTATTTTTTCCAGCCTAATAAGAGTAGTCGCTTAGGTGAGGTTTTAGAGAATTGTTGTAGAACTTCAAGTTCTGACAATTCTTTTTTTTTTTTTGATATTTGCCATCATTAAAACGTTCCTCCGTTATGGTTGATCCTAATCGAAAATGTATTCTCTGGTGTACTGAATATTTTTTTTAATGTAACCCAACGATGCGTTGATTTTGTGTAACATCAGTTCAATTTTAATCATAGATATTTATGAACTATGGTTGTAAATTGTAATAATTGAGTAATTACATGGTTAACATTTTAAGCATGATTATTGACACAGATTTAATCGTGGTTTTAAGATACCGTCTTAAATCGTAAGTAAATATAAAAACAAGTAATAATAAATATGGGCGATTTTGGAGGGGGCTTCGGTGCTGGTAAGTACGAGTACGAGTATGAGTACGCCACTGATAGTATGTATATTTTGCTCAAATGTTATGATCTAGAAATATTTGATTTATATACCGTAGGCGTGATGGCATGCCCAAAGGGTAAGACTCAAGACGGTTTCGAAACACAATTCGGCGTGAATCATTTGGGACACTTTCTATTCACGTCGCTCCTGTTGCCAAGAATCCGAAATTCGGCACCTGCGCGCATTGTCAACGTGTCATCTATGGCGCACACCAGTCAGTATATATTATTTTAATAAATGCACAACCGTAACCTTAAACATATCATGTTGTATATTTCATATTGTGTGCGTATACACAACGTGCTACGTATTTCGTGTGTTTAACCCGTCTCTGTGCAAGTGTAGGAGGAGCGATCAATTTCGACGACATCAACCACGATGTGAACTACTCGGCCATGGCAGCGTACGGCCAGAGTAAGCTAGCTAACATTTTATTTTCGAAAGTACTGGCGGAAAAACTAAAGGGTAAAATGCCTCAAAACATGTTTTAATAACAACGATCTTATGTACTATAAACAATATTCTCATATACACAGGGACCGGAGTGAACGTGTACAGTCTACATCCCGGGATCGTGCGCACCGAATTGGGGAGGACCATCGACCAGGTATACTTCCCGGGCTTGAGATTTTTGAGTCGCTTTGTCCTCTATCCGTGGATCAAGTCTCCGGAACAAGGGGCTCAGACAACGCTATATTGTTCGATAGACGAGAAAGCCGGAGAAGAAACCGGATTATATTACAGGTTTGGTTCCGGATAGATATATCTATCTAAATATATATACGCTGTATATTTTTATCTGCCGACTTTTTTAATAAACTAAATTTTTTTTTTTTTCGTAGCGACTGTAAGGTAAAAGAACCGTCCACGTTGGCAAAAGATCCGGAATTGGCGAAAAAACTCTGGGAAAAAAGCATAGAAATGGTTGGTTTAAAAGACTACGACATGTTTAACAGCGAAGATACGCTTCCTGAACCTTTGAAAGATGTCTGAGAGCAAAATAATTTATTACTTTTATACTTAGTTTTTTTTTTACTTTATCTATATATTTTATACGAACATACATTTTATAATTTAAAAATAAAAAACATTTTATTTAACTATACATAAAGATAGAAATGTTAAATGATTGATCAGTTCTTTTTTAACAATATTTATTATTATTAAAATTTGTAATTTTTCAAATCATGAGCAAAGATCTTGCAGGCAATTGTGCTAAGAAAATTTAAAAAAAACTATAACCTATATTTATTGGTTACAGTGACATGAATATGTAAAGCGTAACAAATAGAATTTTTTTTTTAACAGTATGGTGAAAATGTATCGACTAATATAATGCACCATGTATCGACATTCGATCAACTGTTTATAATGTGGGCCAAAGATTACTACAAATAAATATTGGTATTGACTATTTACTCATTTTTTATGATTCCAACCGAATATTTTTGTTTTATTTTTAAAATTAAAGGAAACATGAACAACGATCTTAAGAGTCTACAAGAGAGCGTTAATTAAATATAAATAGTAAAAAGTTCACAAGTTATTGCCGACCTTTCAGTTATGTACTTCTCGTCACTCCATTCCGTTCATCTAAAGTTAAAATAATTATCTCTCGATTCAATATCCAGTAATTAACAACAATTTTCAGAAAATTGTTTTATTTTAGAATAATCATGTAATAGAAAAAGGGCTTTTAAATAAAATAAAAAAATCTTCGAAAAATGTTCGAGATAAAATTATTTTGCAAACAATGCCATGGTCCATTGACAGCGTATTAAATTAAAGAATGAAAAACAAATTATCACATCCTTGGAAATATAATTGAAGAATAATATTAACTATTATTGAATGAATCTCTCTAAAATATTAAATAAAAATAATTTATAAGTTCCTATGGTTATATAATAATTATAATACATATTCAGTTAATAAATTACTAATTTTAGAGTACTAATATCTATTATCATTTAGTCATTACTGAAAATAAATAATCAATAATTATTTAATAAAAAAATGTACTATTTTTAAGTCAACTCATTTTAAATAATTAGTGTTGAGCAAAGATAACTAAAATTTATCTGGATAAAGATAAAAAATAAAACTATTTGAATAAAAATAAGATAACATTTTTTAATTTTATTTATTAATCTATGCTTCTTTTTTTATAAATTTATACTTAAAATATAAAACTAAATTAAAATTAACTTAATTTTGATCTAATAGATACCTCCAATATATATAATAAACAAAATATTTTTACATCAAGTACATTTATTTATGGAAAATAAGTAATAAATAATAAGTACTTAGTTTTAAAAAAAATACATTTTTTATAAGTTATATTATAACTTTATAAAACAATTTATTACAATTTATATAATACTTATTATGGAGTAATAATTATGGTTAAAATATTTAAAATTTAATTCAACCATTATTTGTATTATTTAATTATCTTCTAAAAAATCAAATATTGTAAGAGTCTCTAGAAAGTATAAATTGAATAGTCTTTATTAAATATGTAAACAATTCTTAAAAATAATACTTACAGGCACAATTTAAATAATATAACTGAACACAAATTGCAGTAACACAAATTTTAAAATAATAGTAATTAATTATAAAGTCGATAAATTTATAATATTGATAAAGTTTTCATTAATTTTAAATTGTTATTAGTTTTTAACTTTCAAGTAAATATTTTGAATAAATGTACCATAGTATTTATTTATCTAGTTAACGCTCCACACTGTAAATAATAAATATACTATTTTTTATATTACATTAAAATTATATAGAAAAAAAAAATAAAAAGATAATTAAACAACAACATTTTTTGCTTTTCACAATAAGCATTCTAATAATTTAGAAGGCTATTAAAGAAATTTATATAATTTGTCTGAGTAAAAATACATTGTATTTTATTTACAATTTTATGGTTCGCCTACGATCCAAGTACAGAATACATTGAATACATTGTATACATTGTAATAATTATATCAAAAATTAATAATTATAATACAAAATAATTATGTTCAAACCAATTAATTAAATTTAACCACATAAATATATATATATATAGGTTAGCGTTAATGTATGACACTCCGTAATTCTAAAAAATAACTAGTTATTAACGGGGCACTTCCAGTTAATGTATTGAATGTATTTTAATTAGTTAATCTGCATACTTACTAGATTTTTTATAAACGAATAATAACGTTTAGATAATGTATAAAAAATAAATATACATTTCAAAATGGTTTATTCTGATTTGAGTAACGGCAATTTATTGGGATTATTAAATGATTAAAATGTTAAGCAAATAATAAGTTTAAAATAAAAATAAATATTAATTCAATTTAAGCACACCCTACATTATTATAATGTAATTTGTATTTATTAGTACACAAAATTTTTGCGTTAAAGTACGTAATTTTCTAAACATTTGCACCGATTTTTGTTCACTTTTGTTGGCATGTGCATTTGAAAAATCCATGACCATTAACTTGTAATTGGAACTCATATGTTTTTGACGACAATTATCTACATCCGGGATATCACTGAGCGTAATAAGCTTTTCTTCACATATATATAATTGAAACTATAAATTACTTACATTGGCTAAAACCCAACTAGTATTCTATATATTTTTTGGTTAAACCATGTGTATAAAATATATTAACAAGCATATTTAAGAATATATATAGAATAACAAGTGATTTAATAAAAAACGAATAACATACATTACCACTAACATATAAACAGTAGTCACTCGATAATTCGAAAATTTGAGGGCCGAGCTCAAAATACGATTTATAGAGGTTTTCGATTTACCTAATATTCGAATTATCGAATGGTTACCGTATATATATATTGAATATTAAAAATTACACGGTGAAATTTTATCAGTTAAATTTAAAAAGTACAAATTATGTAACTAACCAGTGATTATAAAATATAAATTAAAATTTTATAATTTATTTTCAAATTTTCATCCAGAATCAAGATATTTAAAGAGCTTTTTTCGAGCAGTTAAAATACAAACACCACAAAAGCTAACTACTGAACATTCTTAATCTTGAATAATTTTCATTTGGATAGAATATTAAATTTTATAGACCACAGCGCTGAAGTTATTCAACAGGATATTGATGGTGAAACAGAAGAAAATTGTAACATTGAAAAAAAAAGTTAATAAAAGTTAATGTACGTACGGGCAAAATGGAAGTGAATAAATTATTCAAAATAAAAACTAAACTTTTAAACAAGAAAAGGGCAACGTGAGTAATAAAAAAAAAAGCAAATTGTAAGGAATAAATGTTAACCTTTTTGATGTTAATAAATAAATGACAAAGATAGGTACGTAGAAGTAAAGCGCAGTACAAACAAATATTCAACAATTTAACACTACAAGGATTATATCAAGTATTACTGATATAATATATTATTTATTAATAAATAACCATTTGATTTTTATAATCTTATAATTTTTATTTATACATTTTTATAATTTTATATGTATGGCTTTATGAGATTTTTAGGAAAAAAAAGTTAATTTAATACTAATATCTAATGATGTGACTCTCATGAAATCAATGATCGGAGAATTAGAAAAAACATACAAAGTCGTTTTAAATTATCTGCCCAAGAAATATGTGGTATGTTGATAACAGCCAAGAACCGAACGATTATAACACATTTACTCCGCTTAACCCAACAAGGAATACTAGTTATAACCAGAGGACTGTTCAGACCAAATCCATCTAGAAGTGTTCAATCCATATGAAAATCCATAGTTTACTTATAATCAATGTGTGTTACCTTGTAGTACACTTTAATTTAGTGCAACGAGTGTTATATATTGTTATAATAATTGTCTATCGATGTGTTCATGCACTGGCTAAAAGTTAGCGTTTTAATACGTATTGAAATAATGGAGATATTAATATGAGTATTCGCACAATTCTTATTTTAAATATCACACTCGGTTTTTTATCTTCCGATCTTGTTAAAATCAGAACGTAGCTGGTTAATTCCACCGGGATACCGCGGTACCCCCAACCGAAGCACACGATGGCGCGTTGGACGATTGATTTTATATCCCCTCACCCACGCGTACGACAAGATTTCCGATTTCTAGAGCGCAAGTTCGAGTTGTTTATTTTACCTAGACCACATGTACACGGTGTTCGAGAGGAAAAAAAGAAAATGTCAATTTCAAAAACGTTACGTTTACCCGTTTGTTTTGTTCTCGCGCGTCTCTTAAAAACGTTTCCGAATGATTACCGGTTTGTTCGATGACGACGAGAGGGGATGGCGGAGAGGAAAAACCGGACCGGTATCCTCCTCCTACCGTAACCACGTTCCACGGTAAGCAATGTGTTCCCCCCTCCCCCCGTTAGCAGCTAGATCAACGTTCGCGGGATCTATGCGGCAGTGGTGCCGTGAAAGTGGTTCGCGATCGATTGTTCACCCGTAGAGTAGCGCTCCGCACGTGCGAATCGCAGTATTACGAATAGTATACAGTATTAGTATACAGTTGTCGTTGTGCCGGCGTAGTTATTCGATATCCGTTGCCGTCACGTCGTTTCCAGCGGACTGAGGAAAATAAAACATAAAAACATGTTCAGCGGTAAATGCAGGAGCCAGGCTCGGCTGGACGGCAAGACCGCAATCGTCACCGGTTCGAACACGGGCATCGGTAAAGTGACCGCCAAGGAATTCTACAGGCTCGGTAAGCGCGTCGCGTCTCCGCCGAAGCACTTGTCGAGTAAACCGAACAAATAACGTCGAGGGCAAAACATAACAACCTTACCTTATCCGCCGAATTCGAGATTAATCATTGATATGTTAGTTCGGAAAATCTCATTTGAATTTCAGAAATCGATGCCAATGCTATGGCTTGTATTGGTTGGAAGTACGAACTCGTATACAGAAATAAAAGCTGTACAAGTTGTTTGATAAGACAACCGCTGAACCGATCGGCGTGTTTGGGTTCCTCGTTCTGTTTTAATCGCCAATAGACAATAATAATAAATAAGCTTAACTAACAAGTTGGATGCACACGGAAAACACTGATATAAACCAAACAGTAATTTCCTATGGCATTCATTTATAATAATTTTAAAATTACAAATTTATGTTGAGACCTTGAATCGCACACGTTGAAAACAATATTTTAACGATTAGGTTTTTATGGCTTAACATAGCTGGGTTAGGTTAGGATATGAATTATATTTATTGCAACACAAATATATTAACGTTTATTGTAGCGTTTATGCGGGGATTTCATATTTTTATTATTGGAACCTATGTTTATATACGAGTTCGTAGCTATTACATGATTTTAATTATTTATACAACATTGTTATGAGACGTTATACCCGTAGGCGGTGATTGGGGTGAACTTGGGGGGGGGTCTTCAGCCCCCACCTGAACGTAGTCAAACCACACTAGACGTCAAATAAACTGTATATAGTTTTGATATTTATAATTTTTATTTTATTTTGTTGGTATGCGAGAATGGTCTGGAATATTTACGAACTATTGTTATTGGGAACAACCATAATCTGTCGGTAATTAAGAAAATAAAGGAATATATTTATACAATTAAAAAAAAAAATAAGTAGCTATTCAATATTTTATGTTTTTATGTTCCTATTACCTGTTTAAATTTGGTGCTTCAACTAGAATATATTAGGAGTAGCCACTAGTTAGTAGGTTGAAGCGTCTAAAAATGTTTACGCTAACGGATAAGACAAAAATGTTAAGCCCCCTTCCCCCCGGATGTGATCAAATATCCACCCATGATTATATCTATTAATATACTGTTACTTTAATTTTTTATTTATAATTTTTAACTTTTATTTGATTTGTATAAGAAATTCTAGGCATACAGCAAAATATTTTCCTCGAACAGTATCACCGATATTCCGAGAAGAATTTTAGGGAACATTCTTAGATTCAGTCGCGTCTTTACCAGTCCAATCGTATCACGTGTCGTACACGCACGTATCGCGTGAATTTATAATTAATATTATTTGATAGCACAATACGGTACGGGTAAGGTGGCCAAGTAGACCACAGACCATGGCACGTTACGTAAATACCGTTACGTTTTTCGAACAAAAGTCGACAACGCTGAAGACATACGGTTATACGGAGAGCAGTGCGTATCTAACGTGTTTGAACATATTTTGTGTCAGTGACGTAGTCAAAAAAATATTCTAAAGGAGGGGGCTTAAATTTTCCATTCTTTCTTACATAAGTATCAACTATTTAATTTTAATTAATCGATTAAAGATAAATAAAAATGTCAAATATGTTATTTTTTAATATATTCAAACTGAATTTAGACAGTCTCCAGAAAAATATATATATATATTTACATTCATATGCATATAAGTGATTTATATTTAAAAAGTAATATTAAATCTTCTTGAATGTTTAACAAGTTCTTTTAACATGTCGTCAGTCTTGATAATAATGTCACGATGGATTTATAATATTACTAAATTATACCTATATATTGAAATTATTGTACATTTTACAAAATAAGAGACATTGGTAGGGGAGTATAACTCGTTAACCCTACCCCTGGTTTGGTCACTGTTTATGTACACAATCGTTTTGCGAAATTAATTTCCACCCTTATACCGCGATAAATACTGTTTCATGAGGTGAATAATTTTTTTTTTTTTTAACGCTCCATAGTATCCTATAAGGCCTAGATTTTTATTTTTAGTCAATTTCTGTCTAATATTTTTTTTTTCTGGATTTTGGTTTAATATTTTATGTAGTTCAATTTTTAACGTTATTCGTTAAAACCAAACCGAACATCACGAGTATGTTAAAATGTAGGTACTACTTATGTATAAAACAGGCGCACTGATGTCATGGTATAAATATGACAGATGCAATTGATGATTTCGTGATTGGGGGACTGTATTTTGATTAGTGTACTCTGTATACGTGTCTACTGTCTAGTGTAGCCTTACTGTAGACAAGGCATTTGTTTTGTTAGTAAGTTGGTTAAAAATTATAATTGTTTGATTTTTGGGCAAGTGATTAGTTGTAGATAATGTTCACACTACTTTTGATACCCTTCGGCACACTTGCGTATGCAGGTAAATATATGATTAAGAGTTGGTGTTGACAATTTGAGTTATGAAAATATTGTTAACGACGTTTTGCTGAACTTCAAAAAAATAAACATGATTCGAATTGAAGGCCATTTCACGTTAAGCAATTAAACGTGTTGTTTGGAAAGAAAACAAAAACAAATGCTATTATTGATAGACGAAAAACATTCAAGCTGATCGTTTTAAATAATTCGAATCATTCTTCGCACGAACGTTCGAGTAGCCGTCAGTCACATGGATAATAGCATAATAATTAGAGCCCGGTCTTGGTGTGTGAAGAACTTTTAAAAATTCCCCTAAAAAATGCATTTTTGATATATAAAACACTTAAAATGCATTATAAATTTTTATTTATAAATGAGTTAAATATTTAAGATAGGTTAATAAGACTGTTAAAATAAATAAGATAGACAATTAGTTTTTAAATTAATAATTAAAATTGGTTTCAATCTAGAAAACCATTTAAATATGTTGTATTGATTACTTTTTGTAACAGTAATATAATAATGACAAATGCTTGTGATGTTCCTCTCAATGGGTAAAAATAATAAATGTCCTAAATAGTCACAAAAACGACTCAAAAAACAATGAATATTATTCGTACAGATTCGGATGTTGTTGAAACGCATTTTAAGCTAGGAAAGCGTAGTCTTTGGTGTTCCAACAAAAAAAAAAAAAAGGTGCAGAAGTCGTCAGCACCCGGTCCCTGAACAGTGGCGTATTTATGAAGGGGGGAGTTCCGTATCACGTTTATAATGAACGCTGTTATCGATTGATGTCCATAACTATGCGCGCACTCGACTGGTTTCGTCCCCTTCTCGGTGGAAGTCATTTGCTGCAGTTATTGCGCGTTTGACGTATTATCACCGCGCTATCACCGCCCACCGCAACGATCACGTAAAAAATTCGATACGCCGACGACCTGTTACCGTACTGGCATCTATATAAATATATATTATAAAGATGCGTGTTTATTATACGTCTCTCGCGGCTGGGGTGTTTCGACGGCGTAGGGTCCGACGACGTAATTTATCGTGCGCGCGCGGACCACCTCAGCCATTTTTTCCCCGGGCCTGCAGCTGCAATACGTCATATTATGTTTCCGCGCTGTAATTAACACGTGCACTGACCGTGATCGATTTGGTTTGCCGCCAGTGATAACAGTGACGAAGTTGTACCGGAAAACGAATAATTGAGTTTCCCAGCACCCTTCGTTCGAGCACCCGCCATCAACATTGTTGTTTCCTCAGCGTCCGTCACAAATACCGACCAGCTGTACGTGTGGCGCCAATGCTTTGAAAGTTCCTTCAAAAAACATTTTTCATTTCTCGATGATTTCGACGTTCAAATAAAATAATTTGTAGCCGAACGGTTAACCAGCCACTAACGATGTGACACCGATTAGGCCGCCGCGATTGTCTTGACGTTTCGTAAATATATTTACAACATTATCCGTACATAGGTTTAATTGTACCTATAACTCTTCGCATGCGAACAACTTTATTTCAAACAACAATAATAACACAGCGAGCTGCCCATGTTATGGGTTGCCGACCGACACAGCGTACCTACTTTATCAATCGCTAAATAATAAATCGTCAATAGTTGTATAATATACCCAGAAGTGGAACTAGAAATTTTTACGCCCGGGGAAAATGTTAAAATTATGCCCTATCATAGACTAATAATCAAATACTCATCTCGAGAACTTTTTCCTAATAATTAATATACAATTACACTTATTGAGTTTTAACCTAATAACAGTAATTAACAAAGTTAAAAAATCAAATTAGTTGTTAATAATTACAAAAATTACACCCTCTAACATTTTACGCCTGGGGATGAATCTCCATCTTCCACCCCTGAATATACCATGTAAAACTATGTTTAGAATTATCATGTTATAATGCGTGATTTAACGATATAATAATTATATCAAAGCGTATAAGGACGTAGATAAAGATTATTTATGGTGGAAAGGGGAGTGATATTTTTAGGTAATAATTATTTTTATTATTACCTATTTAATTACTAGCAGGGATTTTGGCAAAATGGGCTTGAACCCCCAAACCCTTCTTTATTATACCACTGCATGTCATTAAACACTCAAACTATACACCTGTTAAACGCGTGGTTGGAAAAAAAACTATGCAATCTTACACGAACGAGTTGCAAAATTAATCACAACTAGTTGATGAAAAACCTCAAGGGCAAACCATCAAGGAAGTCATTCAGCAACATATGTAAGGACTCAAAATCGACACCAAAGTCAGACATATCCAGACATTTAGTATAAAAACTCTACCTTTTATTGTCATCTACGTTAATTGTTTAAATTGTTCATGTTAATTTTTTTAAAAGTGTTAATGAATTAACAATATTATCACTAGTTGTCTTTATTCCATATTTAATTATTATGAACATTTAAACATTGTTGCACTGCCGAAATAACAACACGACACGTTACAGCTGAATCAATGTAGTACCTAGCTAAATTTCCAAAGAAAAGCTGTGAAAAAGTGTTCTCTTAATTCGAAAGATTATTGAAATCATCTGTATTTAAAAACAAATTAACAAAAGATGAAACGAAAAAAAAAACGTTAAAAAATCAACAAAATTTCTTGATGTTTCTCGAAATGGCATAGGAACTACGTTCCTGATAAATTTCTAAAAATTGAACAAAACTAAAGGACAAGTTCCTTCCAAGCACTGGAGTATACATCTACAATGAAACTGCATAATTATATTTTTATTTAGTTGTGTACCTACATTAAACGATTTACGATGGTTTGGAAATATCAAAAACTGTTCTTCGATTCGATGATATAAAGAACGGGTGACCTCGACTTTCTCACCTATAGGTCTTTAAGTCATAATAGTAGACGATATAGTCTTTCCAATGTGTCCAGTGTCTATTCACTGGACTATCGAGTGCCACCTACCTATGTTCACTTTGATCATCGCTACGTTTAACATGAACAATATGGGTCAATTATTTAATTTACAATCGTTCACCGTCTAACCACTACATCATAAGATCGTCGTGACATCCTTTTTATCACTTCAATATCAACGTTCAACAAAACAATAATACGCAAATCCGTATTGCATCATCGACACCACAGACACCTCTAGTAATCAAGCGATTTTTAATCACCAAAAAATAAATAGGAGTTTCTTCAATTATAATCCATCATTAGTTATGTATCGAAGTCGATTGTCCACCGCGTAGAAATCACTCGTACATAATAATTGCAATCCATTCGTCGGTATGCCTAGTGTTTACGGAACAAAAAAAATAAATAGCGCACAATTTTTCTCCATCGATCCTGCGGTATTACGATCGCAATCGTCCGGACGAGTTGCCTACCACGTACAATATCTGTAATTATTGCAAAAAAATGCGTAGCACGTACGGACAACAGCAACAACCGTGTCCTCATTATTAAACCTTGCGAAATCCGCCGATCGCAATAAAACGTCGACATGCACTCAAGCAGTTAAAATATTGCATGCAAATATGCATACGAGTAACTACTAAGCATAAGTCAAGTGGCAATGGATTGCTCACAACGTATTCATTGTCTTCCGGATGAATTAACACTAGTAAATATTACGGCATGTTTTCAAACTGAAAATGCGAGGAAGGGGGAGGCTAATTACTTTTTTTGCTTGTATCGTGTGTGTAGGTGAGAGTCGATATGGGAGTTTGAATATTAGGTGTAATATGGGGGCAAAAAAATGTTTTCATTGATATGCATTACAATGAGATGCTCTAAACAAAAAAATTTTAAATTATATAAGAACATAATAATGTTTTAAATTTTATAAATTCAAAATACTTTCTAGGACAACAACATCTTTCTAAAAGAATTTTGAAAAAGCAATACCTAATTATTTTATTTCCAACAATTTCTTCTTCATTGTTTATATTAACTGTAGGTAAACAGTTGAGTCAGTTTTCTGACATACTGCTTTTAGGATAGGTTTCTATCAGTGGTGTATATAGAGGGGGGTGCCTAGTGGGCTACAGACCTTCCCCCGAAATGTTTCAAAAAACTTAAAAATTATTTTAAACGATTGTTATATTTTGATGGTGCTTTGTGCTTTAGAAATAATTTTTTTAAAAATAAACAGAAAAATTATTTTAACCTGGTTGCATTTAATTTATTCAATTGTACTTCAATAGTTCATTAAAGTGTTTTAAAGGTCTTAATTTATGGTTCAATGCTTATTATTAAGAGTTAATTATATAATAAGTAAATTATAATTGTATAATATATTTTATTCATAACATATTTTATAATAGGAATAGTCAAGTACCACATCATATACCCTTTGTTCATAAATACCGGATTATACTTACTATAGGAAATACGTAAATAATGTGATCAGTTGAGACAATTTTTATTGCTTTTGTCAAATAGTTTTGAGACATTCTGTAAATGAAATGTATATAAGTACCTACTGTGTCTTGTTAGTAATTCTTAGATAGCAGTGGCAATTAAACTCTGTCCATAGTAGCCCCCTCCCCAAAAAAAAAATTATTTTCTGTATACACCACTGGTTTCCATACTGTTCAATGTGGAAAGCGTTCTTTCAGGAGTAGATGTAACTGACAACGTGACAAATAATTGTTGAAGTATTTTGAATGTGAAGATTTATGCAATGAGAAATTGATACAACAGCAGACATTGGTTTCGGCTTAGTATTTTCTTTCCATTGCTACGGACACCTCAGCTTTGAGTGTAGGATATTGTATCATCGTGGAGATCTTGGGCATGTATTTTAGAAATTTTCGTAATATTTACACCTTCCCACAAATGTAAATCGGCTGGTGGATTAAGGCGTTCGAGTGGCAAAACAACAGCAAGTCTTTGATTGAAAATTTGAGTGTCCGTTGATTTAATTAATAAGTCGAGAACGGGAATAAAGACGGAACACTTATCATGAAACACATTTCTAGGGTTTCAGAAGTAAAATTGACTCTCCGAGTTTGTCTTTCGCATAATCGAGGCATTTGTATTTCAATCCAAACGGCTTTTTCCAATGTAACAAAGGTCATTAAACAATTGTTAAAAGAATTGTCGTCTGTTCCGCTTAATATTTAACCCCAAGTCAAATAAATTTTAATTTGCACTAACCACTTCGAGTGGTTGAAATAAAATACATACGTAAAACCAGGCCTTGCGCGCGCGCGTGTGTGGGAGGAGAGGAATCTATAAACCCCTTGGCCACGTCAATGTGCATGTCGATGTCTATGTGTAACACAGCGATTCGTTCGGATTCCAGGGGCAAGGGTCGTGATGGCGTGTCGGGACGTGAAAAAAGCGGAACAGGCCGTGGCGGATATCTTGGCGGACGTGAAAGGCGACAACGTCGGACAGCTGATCGTGGAGGAACTGGACTTGGCTTCGTTGGCGTCGATCAGACGTTGTGCGAAGAGAATACTGCTGAAGGAGAAGCAAATCCATCTGCTGGTCAATAATGCCGGTCAGTGACTACGAACGGCGTATGTTTCGCGCACGAATACTAACCCACGTTGTGTTGCAGGCGTGATGGCGTGCCCGAAGGGAAAGACCCAAGACGGTTTCGAAACCCAGTTCGGCGTCAACCACCTGGGACACTTCCTGTTCACGTCGCTCCTGCTGCCCAGGATCCGGAGTTCGGCACCGGCGCGCATTGTCATCGTGTCCTCCTTGGCGCACATGGGTCCGTAAACTGTTCCGATACGACCATCGGTTATCTGTTTTATAAAATACAGTGCAACGCGATAGAAATAATCACGTTATAATGACGCGACTCTAGAGTACCTTGTATAACAACGAGCGTCTTGTGTACACATTTAGGTGGTTCAATTAATTTCGACGACATTAACTACGACACGAGAATGTACGTGGCCATGTTGGCCTACAGTCAAAGCAAACTGGCCAATGTGCTGTTTGCGAAAGAACTGTCCCGGAACCTCGAAGGTAAGTGCGATACCTACCTTATAACAGTCGCTAACGAAAAAAAATTCAATAACGCCCACGTTTGTGTAGGGACCGGAGTCCATGTGTACAGCCTACATCCGGGGATCGTGAGAACGGAGTTGACCAGAACAGTGGACAAGGTTTTTTTCCCGGGCGCTTGGTTCCTCTTCCGCTTTTTCGTCTACCCGTGGGTCAAGAATCCGGAACAAGGGGCTCAGACCACACTGCACTGTTCCATCGACGAAAAGGCCGGCGAACAAACCGGATTGTATTACAGGTTGGATGATTTTCGTATATTTTTCATTATTCTGTTCGTTAATTCATTCGCCGACGGTTCGAATGCAACGTTTGAATGCACGACTGTTTTTTTTTCTTAGTAACTGCAAGGTAAAAGAACCGTCGTCATTGGCCAAGAACGTGGAATTGGCGAAAAAACTTTGGGATAAAAGCGTAGAAATGGTTGGTATAAAGGACTACGACATGTTTAACTGCGAGGATACGCTTCCTGAACCATTAAAAGACGTCTAAACGAAAGCGTCTTAATTTTACACACAAATAAAATGCATAAACACACGGTTTTATGTTATTAAAATATAATTGATTTAAATACAAATTCATATTTTTCTATGAAATTTTTTAACAATAAATAAATATTCGTTTTCGTAATAGCTATAGATTATATTTAATTACGTTTTTAAATTAAACAAAACATGATCAACGATCCAAGAATCTACAAGTATTTATTTCATATAAATAATTAAATTTTCAGGAGTTATTGCCAAACTTATAATAGTTTAACCCTTATCAATACATTCTTCTCGTCTTCAAATACAAAACCGCAGACCAAAATTGAAATAATGAATTATGGATTCGATTTTAAAATAATTTTGAACTAAAAAAAGATCGGTCGAAAAAAAAATAAGAAGAAACAAAAATATCGTTTTTATTTTGCATAAATGTTGCATGACCATGATAATTGACTATATTACAATCATAGTAAATAACATACTTGAATATTAAAATGTAGTATAATACTAAAAAATCAACTGCTCCCAGTTTTAAATTTAAATGAAAAAAAAATTAACACTTTTTCACCTGCATATTGATTGATGAATCAATCTCTCTAAATGGGAATATTTTACATATTGCCTGTTTAGTTTAAGATTGTATAACAATAATAAATAAAGTTCATTATTCAACATTTTAATAAATCCATATAAAAATTATAAGTTTCAAATTTATCAAATTAATTTATTTTTATGTTTTATAATTGCCACATTTAAACAAGTTTTAACTCAAAGATCTATGTAGTTAATAAAATTACCCTTTAGTCTTTACTGAAAAATAATAACTATGCATTGTCAAAAATTATAAATGAATCAATAAAAAATTATGAAATAACTTATTTTTTTTACTGTTCGTAATGAGCATGTGTTAAAAACTCCTTTTAGTCTAAAATCATTATTATAATCTTTAAAAAATATATATATATATAGAATATCCCAGTAAACTAGTAATCAATAAACAATACATTTTATTTATAATTTGGTAGCCTATGACCTAAGTAGGTACATATTACATTGTATAAATGTAATAAATACATCAAAGATTAATAATTATAATACAAAATAATCTCTTGCATGGATTTTAGTTAATTACATATTTAAAGTACAAATTATATAGCTGATTAGTGGTATCAAATTATAAATGTAACTCGGTTGAATAATTTAAATACATTATCACAAACTTCTAATCCTTTTCTGAAGGTATATTAAAAAGCAATTATCAAGCAGTTTACATACACCACAAAAGACATTATAGCGAGTTATTAGGCATTCTTAATATTGAATAATTCCCAATTAGATAGAATGATTAAGTTTATAACTATTTATATATTATGATATATACTATATCACAGTGCTAAAGTAATGAAATAGGAAATTGACAGTGTACCAGAAGAAAGTTATAACATAGAAAAAGAAATGTTTACACACAGATATTATGGAAGTAAATCAATATAACAAGTTATTATTAAAAAGTATATTTCAAAGAATAAAAGCCTATTTGATGCAAAATAGAATGATTTTCATTTTGATGATTAATGTTAAGTTGAAAATATTAAGTCATTAATAGGTGATGTTAATCTAAAAATGACAAAGATACTTAGCAACAAAGTACAACACTAACAAATTCTTGACAATACTACAGATTGTATCAAGTATTACTGATATAATATATTATTTATCAACAAATAAACATTTAATTTTAATAATTTTATTTGTATTTAAATTATTTTTGTATTTTATTAGTTGATTTAAAGTTGATATTGAATGATGCGGAACTCATGAAATCGGATATGTGAATTAGAATAAATACACATAACAAAAACAGGAATAAAAATAAAAATAAGTATTGATAGTCATTTTAAATTACCCACCCAATAAATATGTAGTATTTTGACAATTATAGTAAGAAACATATTAATGGCGTGATTGCTCCACCTAACCAAATAATACCACTTATAACCATTAGACTATTCGAATCAAGTCTATCAAGGATTTTTTAGGAAAATGCATGCATTTTCTTATAATCAACATTTATTAGACCATAATAGAACATTAAAGGGTATAACATAAATAGGATACGTTATCACAGAAATAATATTTTTAGTACTAATTGAAGTTGTACTAAATCTCTATGAGATCTTGATATTTAGCCACATTTGTATTTGAACAGCTATCATCACTGAAAAATTTGTCAAAATTTGATCATTATTTTTGTTAATTATTCATATTTTTTATCAAGGTTCATAAATATTATGTGACTCACTTTATTAAAATTGAAGTGAATAATTGCGTATCAGAATTTTCAAAACCTATAAGATTAAAAAGAAGTTTATGGTGGAATCATTATGTTAAATTGAATAAATGTATTGATATTACCAATTGATGACTTTTGATCGTAAATATCCGAGGATAATAGGCTTTGAGCTTCAGGTATGTTCTTATTGATTGGAAAAGACGAACCATCACCAAGGCTGCGATATAAGTATAAATATTATTACATGCAGTTAGGTAAAAGATTAAAAATTAACTTCTGTCAATTAATAAGCCAAAAGGATGAAATTAAAAGTACAGATTTATCTAAACATTTTCATGACAAAGGAAAGATTATTATTAAAATAAAAACAGAGTTTATAATATATTTTGTTAGATAAAAAACTTAGTTATTTTATATTTTGTTATTTATACATGTTCAAAACAATTAATAATAAACAAGCATTACCAAAAATATACAAAATGTCAAAAATATAAAACAGCTCACCTTATTAAATAATTAAAAATATAAAATCTTAATTGACAAACATTAATAAAATTAAAAGTAACTTTATATAAATATTGCATCTTTAAATTAATATGATTAACATAAATAATGTGAACACAACACAATACTGACTTGAGCCTTATGTATAAATGTTTGTTTTATATTATATTTTATAAATTGTTATTTGAATAAGTATTCATAATCTTTTTGGAATAAAAAAATTTGTTTAAACAGTAAACGGTATCCTGGATTTGTTTGGTGATTGCCTAACTCTATCAATTGACCTCAGGTCGCTCGCCAACGGATAAGTTACACCATCCCCCAAACTAAAACAGAAAAATTAATATCAGGTAATGTAATACTAATATAACGATATGATTTATGCCCAAGAATTTTTAAAAATGTACACTTTAAAAATTGTTAAAAAAAATCTCAAGAATAATTAGGAAAAATAATTAATAAACATTATTCTAAATGAAATTAAAAATAAATAATGCAAAAGCCTTTCTGTACATTTTCAAAACAATTTTATAAATTTTATAATAGTTAAATACATATAACCACTTATAATAATTAAAGAACTTTAAAAATTGTAAAATTAAGAAATTTGTTTAATTTCAATCATTCAATTTTTATTTAATTAATTATAAGTATAATTTATTTATATTAATAGATTTTTTTTAATTTAAAAGGAATATTTAAAAAAATGATTAAATTATTTAAAGAGTATTAACCACAAAAAAATTCTATCTCTATTTTTGAAGCCTTTCATCAAATGACAAAAATTTCTTGGCTATTGTACATATAACAAAATGCTACCCTAAGCTCCAAATTATACGCAATGACGAATTTTTCAGGTGATTTTTCTTTTTAATAATACAATTAATTAGACCTATTATAAATACTAAAATTATATTTAACTTTTATACTAAATAATATTTTTTCTTAAATTTATTTACTTTTAATTTTAAAATAAGTATCTAACATACTAGAAAATTTAAATTTCTTGACTACACTACAAAAATAATTGTTTTAAGTAAATATAATGTAAAATTAAATATTATGTAGGATAAATATATGACGAATGAGTTTTTCATGTTATGAATGAAAAATAATATTTGTATAATAAACCATTGATTTAAATAAATTTTAAATGTAATTAAATAAATTTAGCTTTATAAACTCACCTAGTATCTACAGGAAAAGGCCACAAAATAACTTCTTTTCCAAACACTTCCCGTATGTTTCTACAGCATCCCAAGTTAAATCCATTTTTATCACAACCTTCTGAAAACTTCGGAGGACGGAAAGACTCTAAAATTATAACATAATCATTATGACACATAAATAGTAAATAATAACAAATATTATTTGAATTACCTAGTGTAGTGCGGTTTTTTGAAACCAGATAGATGTGATATGCAAATAGTGAAAATAAACTGATTGAAAACATTGAAGCAATAAAGAACAAAAATATTATATGAATTTTTTCTGATCCTCCTGAAATTCGCTGTAATAAATAAAAATAATTAAGAATGTACTAGTTTTATCAACTTTTAATTATAAATGCATTTTAATGTATAGGAACTAATAAATTATTTAAAAAAAAAATTTGTTTTCATATGACATTGGAAATTTAACTATTAAATAATTTATAAGTATCAAAATATTTGATTGGTTTAATATAATTTTTAACAATATTGTGTTATATTTTTTACTATTTATATACAACATGATTATAAAATCAATAATTAATTTGAATAACTTAATATCAATAATCTTAAAAATAGTCATAAATATTTATAATTATTACAATGAATGAATGCAATAATATCAACTACAACAAAATATAGTACATTTACATAAAGTTCTTGAACTATTAATACAACAAAATATAAGAGAATTATTTAAACATGCTATAGCTGTATTTTAAAAGTATAATTTATATAAGCTTTAGATAAATTATTATTTTATTTTATTTAATTTATAAAATAATAATGAGCAGTAGATTCAACTATTTTTTCAACAGTTAAAAAACCATCAATAAAAATTGACATTTATAATATAGCCAGTTTTATTTTTGTACTCATTATCATCAACAATAATATTACACCAATCTACACTATATATACACATAGTAACATATTTTTGGGAGGGGTAATCCTGGGTAACAAACCTTCCCCTAAAAGATAAAAAAGTTTAAGTCATAAATAACTTGCTACAAAAGTACAGAGGAAGAAAAAATTAATTTATATCATGTTCATGTTCTATATCAGGTTCTAAATAACTCTTGATTCTTATTTATAATATTAATAGAATAATATAATTAATAATTCATACTTTATATGTATTTTTTTGTAATATTATAAGATATCTCTTATTTTTAAGAAAAACTGTAAACCACCCCTACAAAAAGTTTGAAATACACCACTGTATTTATATACTAATAGCTATTAAATATATTAAATATTACCACATCTGAAGTAACATCCCAGAATTTAATAACATATTCCGCTGTGGTAGCTACCACGTAAATACACATCAGGAGACCGTAAGCCAAAAACAATATAAAGAACTTATAGTTTGAATATGATACACAATTGTTGACCCAAGGACAATGATGGTCCATTTTTAACACACATTTACGACATACACTGCAATGGTGTGATCTATCTGGTTTCACTACTCTACATTTATCACAGTACCGAATATCTGAAAAAAAATGTTCTACAATTCTAAAGACATACATGGAGTCTTCAGTAAGGATGACAAATAAGCATATAAAGTTAAGGACTGAACTATTACCATCAGCGTTTGTAAAAGTCATGACCGGCAAATTTTCCGAAAAGTCACGCAAAACTGCATTCTGCCTGTTCAAATCAATAGGTATTCTGTTGAACTCTTCAAACACTTCTTCTGGTAGTCTGAACTGCAACGAACAAAAACATACGCATTCGCGCATTAACAGATATCATCATATAAGAACACTATGAATGCAACCATTACTTTTGGTGGCACACCCCCAGGTTCTGTGAAAATCGTTTTGAAGTAGGACCATAGAAAGAACACCAGGATGATGTGGTACACGGTTAAGTACAAAGCTTTAACTTCCATTGACGCAATGCCACCTGAAAATAGAAAACAAAACAATGGTTCAATCAGACAGACCTTAACGTTATGTGTATAAGCCAAATATTACCCAAGGCGCTGATGCACAGATGGTAGACGTACGCGTAATATGACCACGCGAGGATGCATAGGATAAATATCACCGGAATGCTCTTGACCATTTTCACGCAGAATACACAGCAGAACCGTTTCGAGTCTGAAGCGTCCATTGCCGCAGGTCGGATATCCTTGAACTCGTTCGCGGTGTTGGCGACGACGACAACAACCGTTCAAGGTGTCAACAGCATCCCCAGCACCGCGGTCGTCGTCCGGAGTGCAATAGGAACGTGCGGGAAAATGTGAAACACAAAACAATCGGTTGACAAATGAGCGCGTGCTGCGAGGGTACGTTACCGGGCAACGAGTACTCCATGAAACGGCGACCAACCGTTTAGTAAACCATGTGTTGCGTAACCCCACATCAACGGGACTCGGCGAGTTGGTGTTACTGTTATTGCATAGCAGAATGATTGCAGAGCACCCTGAAGAACGCTCTCACACATTGACTATTACGGAATCCGGAGTTGACGCTGATATTGTACGCGATTGTGTGTTATCAACGGGATCAGTGTGACCGCGCACCAGTTATTCGGTTTCCCTCATTATTTCGCGAGCATGTACAGAGCAGTGGATCCCAATGGTATATGAATATATGTCAGTGGATCGCGGTTGTGTTAGAAGTGTTTAAAAATCAAGCACACTTAACTCAGGCGCGTATATAGGTACATATTTGTACCTATATACATATTTACATATTTGGTGGGGGGAGCGTTGATAAAAATTTTAACTTTAAGAGGTAATATAGAAGAATCCCATACTGCCGATAGAAAGGATTGCGTTAAAGTTTTAAAAAGTTGTAAAGTTTTGAACATTTTCACTCGGGCTTTCAAATTCGAGTTTTTAAGTTCACTTTTTGGACTACAGTTTTGCGGAATTTATCCTAGTCCGTAATACTATACATTCTGCAAGGCAGTCATCGAAGATCATTGTATGTTAGACATCCTTTTTAATTAGCCGGATGGTTAGGTTAACCTTTACGAACGGTATATTTGACGGACAAAACAGTAGTTTCATTGCAGCTGTTAATCACCACAGCGGTAATTGGATGCAATGAGAAATTGTGATTACTTTCGTATTTTATTTTTTGTTTACGCGAAGAATTTAAATAACGTACGTACATAAACTGTAAACATATACTAATTATTCTTTTTGTTATTAATCATTGATTAAAAATATTAAATCAACGTATCAATTATACGTACTAAACTCAATTAAAGCCACCACGGTGCAATAACCAGTTACGTAAATTTTTTTCAAAATTCCATTTTTAACTCACATACGTTGACAAAAATAATTCTCTGTCGATTGGTGCAATAATCATATATGACCGACGGATATCATGGAAAATAAATCACAAAAACGATATTTACGGTTTTGTTTGGTGCAAAAACTTAATACGTCCCGATGTACCTTATGTATTTTCATGTAAGTATTTGTTTTTTTTATCTCTCGGTGCAAGAACCAGTTACGTCCTTAACTGGTTTTTGCACCAAACATATGTACAGAAATGTTATTATTTTACTCTGTGCAATAACAAGATTTTATAGGTCTATTAAATAATTTTGGTCAGTGGCGTAGCGTGTGCGTATGATGTGTACAGTATACACTACACAAATTGAAAAAATATTTTTTTTTTTATATACTAATAATGTTATATTTTCACAAACAATTTTTCAATTGTAATTCTTCTTCTAGGCTTTTACAGGCCCATCGCCGCAACATCATATTGTCTCCATCTCTCTCTATCGTTTACACATTCTTCTGCATCCCTCACGTTCAAAAGTTTCAAGTCTTCTTGTACTCGATTTATCCATCTCTGTCTAGGGCGTCCTCTTGGTCTCTTTGTGTCAGGCTTCCATTTAGTTATTGATCCAATCATTTCTACTAATCTCCATACGTGACACGCCCAACTTATCCTTGTACTCTTCAGGGACCCAATAATGTTAGGTTCTTTATAGAGGTTATTCAATTTTCATTGTTTCTTATTTCATACTCCCCGTCGTTATTCCTTTTTGGACCGAAGATTTTCCTTAATATTTTTCTTTCAAACACTCCTAACTTTCTTTTATCCGATTTTGTCGTGGCCCATTTACCACATGCATACAGAGTAATTGGTTTAACTATGATTATATTTAACTTATTCAATTGTACTAATTTAGTATTTCATAGTATAATATTTTATGGATTTTCTTCAAAGTTGATTAAACATTAGGATTGATAAATCCACAACACAGTGGCTGTGCCCCGCGCTATGGTCCTTATATCTGGTGGCTAGTACCTATAGATTAGGTTAGGTTAAATCAATGGTATACCATGTTTATTATGTATACATGGGCACATGTAAACTCCCCTAAAAACATTTTGCTACCGTATTACACTAATGTAAATTACCCTAAAAACATTTTACTACCGTATTACACTAACATAAATTCCCCCAATAAAATTAGAACCATATAGGGCCGGTTTCACCTACAAGAGTTAAAGTGCAAGTTATCAATAACTCAAGGTTAACTCAAAAAAATAATTTCACGACTTAGAGTTAAGGGGTAACATCAAGTTATCGAAAATCTTACCTCCCATATTTTAACTCCTAATATTTTTGAGTGTTAAGAGATAACTCTTAGTTCAAACAACAATATTAAAACGTGTTATCACTGTTAACATATTTTTTGCTTTCAAGAATGATTATTGTGTGTCGTATTTGAATATTTCATTTTTGCATACAATTTTTCTGCCTGTGAAGATACTATTATAATGTATCGTAGAATATTATTTGATGACGAGAGTGAGAGCGATAACGACGACATCATTATTGCGATGCAACGAAGACCGCGAATAATAATTTAAATAATAAAAATAATAATTTTTCATTACATTATATTGCTTTTATACTTATTGAAACATTTTAAAATTTAATATGATAATTTTAATTTTAATTTTTTTGTAACCATTCAGACCCAATGACCCCTATAGAGGACATACTCCTAAATTCGTCAAAATCTAAAAATAAATTTTTTTTAAAACATTTTACTCTTATTATAGTCCATAGTAAAATAAATAAGCAATAAAAAATTTTTTATCTCTATAAGAAATTAATTTGGGTCTGAAAGGGTTAACGTTTTCAGCGTTATCAATTCAATGAGCGGTATTATCAATGCTATCAGTGGAAAATGAGAGGGAATCCTGGTTAATACCAGCAATTAATTAGCTAACCTGAGATTTACTAACTTCCACTTATAAACTGGTGGTGAAACTGAAATAATGATAACTTGGGGTTACTGATAAACTCAGAGTTAATCTCAACTTTAACTCTTTAATGGTAAAACCAGCCCTTAGAGTAACCCAGAAGACACCACGTAGAGGCGGTTCTAGTTGTCCTCCAAAAATATTCGTATTTTTAATTGCATATATATTTCTTTATTCATATTTTATAATTAGAAAAATATCATACAAATAACCATTATGAGTAAACATTAAGTTAAAAAGACGTCAACAATTATTAAACCAGCTAATAGAAAATTATAAAGAACAAAAAATTACTGCATTTCATTATATAAAAACCGTTTCATAATATTATTCCATCAAAAAAATAATCAACATAATAAAATCAACTTTAATAATTTTAATAGTATAACGATAATAATGAATTTTTCTAATTATAAAATATGAATAAAGAAATATATATTCAGTTAAAAATACAAATATTTTTGGAGTATAACTAGAATCTCCTCCACGTGGTGTCCTCTGAGTTACGCTAAATGGTTCTAATTTTTTTAGGGGAGTTTACGTTAGTGTAGTACGGTAGCAAAATGTTTTTAGGGGAGTTTACTATTAGGGCAATTTACTATTTAATTTTTTAGGGGAATTTACATTTGCCCGTATACATAATGTATACGCATGTATACGTATATGCAATATGCACATTGACGATTGCTTACAGGCACAGACATTCAGCGATAGTTATTTAAATTTCTTATCAATAATATTAAATAATAACAAAACAGATCGCTCGCTGTGGTGCATTCGTCGCTTGTGTACGCGAGATCTGTATTGCACACGCTATCGTCTAACCGTTGTCCGTCGCAATATTTTGCCGGCTATATATAATAAATTATTGTTAGTTATAACGTGCGAATTAACTGTATATTGTGAGTATGACGTATCAATAATGAATACAAATAATACAATATGTGAGTATGCAATTGAAAAATTATTTTTAAAGCCTTTCGGTTCCCTGCATTTTGACGAGAAAAAAAGTATTATCGAAATAGGAAGACCCATGCCAAAATTACTTTACACGAAAAAAAAAAATTACTAACATTTTATAGTCACGGAAAATGTAGTAAGAAACACTATTTTATAGGTAGAATGACTAAAATAGTATAGTTATTAAGATTATATAAAAGTAATTGGTTTCAATAGTGAATATTACTATTTTATAGTTAATTTTTTTATATGTTTTAATCGACTATATTTTATAGCTCAGATAATTAAATACTATAGCAATATATCAAATCACTATAAAATATAGTAAGTCGTAACTGTCGAAATGTAATTCGGCGAAAACTGAACACGCGCGAGTAGTTAACACAAAGGTAATATAAAGCAAGAGACACGCACGGCATGAAATGAAAACTCTTAAGAATTTTGTCTCTTACAAAACGTATTATGAGTTAATGGATGGTGGTCACTATTACCCTTTTGTCAGTCGTATATAATTCATATTTTGCAACACTCCTACAAGAAAGTTCAACGCATGATGGGTCTCTAAGTTTCTACGGATTCAAGTCGAAACGGTACATTTTTTACACTATATACTAAATATGTAGTAGATTATTAATGTATACAGTTATTTTCAAGTTTTGTTAAAATTATTTAAATAAATATCGACTTACTACATACTCCTTTAGTTTATTAATTATAAAGCTTATTACAAAGCTGTCCTAATTATTTTAAATCTATATTTTTTTATATTATTTATTATAAAAAAACCCATACTATTTTTTAAATGAGAACGCACCGCGTCGCACATGGACACCAGGATAAGACTTGGAACAATTAAATACTCCAACACTTGCAATTAATTAGTATAAAATTTGTTGTATAACATGCACGGACTCGATCAGATTTATGTCCGCCGCCCATGGTGAATTCTTATTTGAAAAAAGTACCTATATATGTCCTATTGTTATTTGTTTTTGGAATATAACTATATAAAAAATCTTAAGTATGTTGTTATTTTAATTATTAACCAAATAACCAATAAATCTGTTACACAATTTAAAATAAAAAAAAAAAAAAAATAATATTTTTTTTACATTAACGAAATTATATTTGGATACCATATTTAACAACGTTCTTTTAAATTTTATAAGTAAAAACATGTACTAGCCAAAAAAAATAACAATTATAATAGGTAAAATTTGAATGAATATGATATTGTAATTTTATAGTAAAAAATACTATACATGACAGCAGGTACTGCTAAATATATAAAATAATTAAATATAAAACTTGGTTACGAATACTTAATTTTATAGTAGTGGTTATTACGAGTTATAGCTCAATAAACTGTTAATTATAGTAAATTAAATTTCTGCTGCAGTGATATGAACTAAACCTTCCAGTTCTAACTATTATAAATTCCAATGTGTTCTACTATAAACACTGTTTGAACAACTAAATTAAAATATTTAGTGAACTATAAAATTTTAGTAAAAATTACTTTATTTTCTTGTAACAATGACTATAATAACTAGTACATTATAGTAAATATCACTAACATTATAGCTATCCCTATAGCAATTATAAAATACTGTTTAATCTACTATTTTAATAGTGGGTTGAACTGTTTTGTTTTTTTTCGTGATATTTAACTACAAAATCAACAAAATTACGTTCGAACATTTAAATATGAGTATTACAGTACATTTAAGTGGTTATCGGGTTGTAAAAAAGCAAATAACTATATTATTGGCCTTCTATTATTTTTTCTCGTGAAGAAAACACGGTTTTGACGATTTCAATAACTTTCATAATTTAAATTGAAAAGATTGGGATAAAATATATCTCAAACATTTTGGTCGTACAAGAAAAACGCACGTATTTTGCAAAAATGTATTATCTACTTATATCTTGATGGTACAAGTAATTATTTTTTCAATTCTAATGATTACATACAAGGATGGATCTAGAAATATAAAACGGAAAGGGAGGCTAATTTGTATTTACTGAAGACAATATAAATAATTTTAGTAAATACTTAAGTATATTAGTATATTAGATATAATGTATTTTAAAATGATAAAATATGAAAAATTATTTAGTTCATTAGTCTTTTGACCAATTTTTAATCAAAGACCGACCAAACCTATTAGGTATTTATATTTATGTTACACAGTTAAAGAGAAGGCTAAAGCCCCTTCCCCTCCTTTCTTCTGAGCCTGATTACATGTACAATATATTTTTTATCATTTTATTATACATAGGTGATATATATTTTTTTTTTTTTTTATACTTGGTATAAGTAATACACATAAAAATATGTTATATTTTGTTTTTATTTTAATATTAATAAAAGTATATGTTTTATTACATTAAGTTGCGTATTATACTTATTACAAATTTTAAAATTTATATTAGTTGAATTTATTTTATTTTTTTTTTTAACTATTATGACCCAATGTCACTTAACGTGGACATAATCCAGAATTCGTAAATATTTTAATATTTTTCTCTTATTATAGCCCACAGATAAATGAATATGCAAAAAATAAATAAATATTTCAGTAAAATAAAATGGTAAAATTGGGTCTGAAATGGTTAAATTCTACTATTATGATTTGCTCACTAATCAAATATAAAATTATAAAATTAACTCTTGTACTAAAAAACCTTATATTTACTTTAAGTTATAATTTTATTTTTATTTTTTATAATTTTACTTATTTATAAATATACTATAGTTACACAATGTAATAGCAAATGAAATAAATAAATTATATTGTTGTATATACAATACTGATATTTACATAAATAATCGTAAACAGTATACATTTATTGCTAATTTTAAATTTACATACTTTGTATGCTAAATACATTGGAATCCAACCAATTGTCTTATTGACGTTAAAGTTTTTCTGAAACAAACTACTGAGAGAAATGATTATAGAAAGTAGTTGGTAGGTGTAGTTGGTAGGTTTTACTAAATCTACAGGTACCAGTTGGCTTACAGGTTAGTGTACGCCGTCAACGTTTTCAGTGCACATGTCTAGACATCGTATTCTATATTTTAACTAATATCAACTTTTATTTATTAATATTAATTGTTTGTTTTTAATTATTTTAATTATATTTTTAATTCATTTCATTTTATAGTAATATTAATGTGTTAAGTTCGACAAAAATGAACCCGGATACTAGGTACATGTTTAATATATTGTTTATATATTAGATATATTTTATAAATACCCGATATTTATAAATATTTTAATAAGTAACTCTAAATACATATAATTTTAAGTTTATTGTTCAAAAAATCAACATAATTTATTTTACCTTTTTTTTTTTTCATATATATGTAAGTTACTGTAATATATTTACATGCTATATACGAGTATTTGTATTATTTTATTAATAAATTAGAGTAAAAAAATCAGAAAATTTAGAAAGGGTATTAATTATATAAATTCAATTTAGGAATCATGTTCTATTAAGTAATGGAGCGACCATAATTTGGTCACGATTAAATAATTAAACAGATTATTTATCATAATATATTGTGAATACAATTCTGACTGAAATCCAATAATAAATACCTAGATATTATTAAGTATAGTATTAAGAGTTTATTTTAAACATACGTTACCATAACTAAATTAGTGCTATAAAAAATTCTAAATTAAAAAAATGTATTTACATACCTTATATGAGTTTTAACTAAATTAAGTCTAAGATGTATAATAAATTTATTTCATGAACATGCTTCGGCGTTCCCCATAATACTAAGTGATTTGTGCCCATTGTACTTTCATTAGTATACTTGGCATACATCTTTCATAAGACTGAAATATACAGAGTGATTCATAAAGATTTTTAAAAATTGAAAAAGGATGTGTAGTTCAAATCTAACTTTAAGATTAATGATTAATTCCAAAATGATATCAACTACAATAAAACAAAAATAGGAATTTTTAGACAATGTATCTCAAAAAGAAGATATATATAAGAAGTTTATATACCTGCATATAATAAAGTAAATAAAATACTTTTTTCAAGCATAAAATAAGAATGGAAAACAGTAATTATATTATAATCAGACTACAGTCCATATTAGATAAACCTCACGAGGTCGAGAGAACCTTTTGAATAAGATTTTTTATTTACTTATGAAAATTGCTATACCATAATAATATTAAATAATGAATAAAAAGCATGGACTTTAGGACTATTGCTATTGATTAACATAATCAATTATTTTAAATATAATTTTTATTTTTCATTTAAAATAGAATACACGGAAATATCTATTGTATTTAATCACATTGTACACAGTATTGTTTTTAGTTTAAAACAATTATGTAAGAATTCATTTTAGCGGAGATGATTTGTAGATTTATGGATAAATATTTTATACATAAATTAATTTTGTACGATAATATTTTCGAAATTTTACCATTTTCATTTCTAAGATAAAAACTTTTTTTTAGATTTTTGTGGAATAATTATTATCTTTAAGTAAAATATTGACGATAATGTATATCATATATACATATATATATATATATATATATATATATATATATATATACTTACGTATGCTGTAATAGGTATCAATAGGATATTCATAGTTGTTACCTTCAAAGGTAATTATCTATATGAAGTGTATACCTACATATTCATAATTAAATAGAAAATAGTTAAAATATCTGTATGTAAATTTTTATTATATAAACTAAACACTTTTACAACAGTTATATTGTTTGTGATTCGTTCCAAGCTTTCATTCAAAGCTTGAAATAATGAATCAAGGGCCAATAGACTTCGGAGAGTAATATAATCATTATATGTATGAATTTCTAAAGTTCTTTTATACTCAATTGTCCACGTAGGTAGGTCCTGCCACTTATTGCAAACATCATATTATTGCGCATTAGTTGCAGTCACGAGTACTGTTATTATAACGAATTCAATATTAAATTTACGGATTACCTAGTATAATTTTAGCGTAACCGGTTTTGATTTACCTTAGAACAAACATCATGAAAATAGTTACAGAACAAATCCGTCAGGTTGAATGGAGATATTTTTCGTTTGTACGACAGACAAAATTCGAAACGTATATCTAATTGACCTTTACCTAAACATCTTTAACACCATAAAATAATCATGACATTCGTTTTTTCATGGTCAATGTAAAATTTTTAAACTATCATCGCATATTTTCGATGAATATTGATAGTTGAAAATTTATAATAAAATATAAAGTTGATATATGTATTAAAGGTTTTATTTACGTATAATATTTCATACAATTGAAATGAAGTTTGTATGCATAGAAATATATATATTGTTGAGATAATAATTTAAATAAAATTAAAAAATATTTATGAAATTGTATTCATATAGAAAGTATAGTTTAATTACACAATTATTTAATTAATTATATAGTAGTTATATATTAAGTATATTTTACTATTTGAAGATATCATTTCTGAATTAGAAGTCTATATAAATATTTAATTTATACTTAGATATTTCAATCATTAAGTAGTATACTCTTTGCATTTACCATGTTTCCAGCTCTATAGCTTTATATTATTGAAAGGTGCAATGAAAGTGCAACGAAAGTTAAATCTTGTGACATAGATATTTATAAAGAGGTCAGCGTCACGAAAAAGAAATTTCAGATTATCTATTACAGTTATCAATTAATCATATAGTATGTAATTTGAATTTTCACTTTTGAACTGTGTTGTGGTTAATACAATCTGAAAGCAGAGGTACGAAATAGGAAAGACCATTAGGACAATAAAAAAATTTGTTATATTTTATTATTTTATTGGTTATATTTTAATGTATTTAAATTTAGTTGAAGTTATATGAGTTGATAGTTAAATATGGTTCAGACTTATTTTATTTTGTTTACATTTATATTCATGAAAAATAGTTTCTTTTGATAAATACGAAGAACCGGGAGGGAACCGATTTTTTTCTGTCTTGGTGGGAATATCTAGAATCTAAATGGACAGTACTAATAATCTTCTTTCCTATATTTCCTACCTCTAAACTGAAACGTTACTATTTCATTAAAGTAAAAAAATCTTTAGGATTTTTGCATCACTAAGAAAATATTGAAATAACTTGAGAATAATAATATTTCTTATCAAATAAAATAGATAATCATGTTTTTTTATAACTTCGTAATGCAAGACTAAACGTGTTCCATTTAACCTATTAGACACTATACATACCATACTTAGGAATGTGATTATTTAGCTCAGTTATTTTATTTTTTTACAAATGTTAAACATTTAAAATATGGAATGATTAATTTCACAAATAATGAAGTATTGATGATTATTTTTTCAGAGTAGTTTTTATTTCTTTCAGATAAGTACTAAATTTAACGATGTAATTTTACAGTAAAAATATACAATATCTCTTCTAACGTGATCTATTCGAGCAATAACCATATAAGATATTCAATGAACATAAATTCGTTCAGAAACGTTTCTTGAATGTGATGCTTATCATTGTTCTAAATTGTAAACGAAAACGGAATAATTTAACTAAACATTCAATCTTAGTAACTAATTAAATTATTTACTTTTGTCATAATAAATTAATAAACTAAAAAAACAAATCAAAGCAATGATTTACATTACATTTACATACATTAGTATATATGAAGTAAAACCCAATATATTTTACGTCCTATCCAAGTATTTAAATACCTAATGTAAAACAATTAAGAAGTAATTATTAAGAAAAAAAATTAATTATGTACAATAATACAACTATTGAAAGATAAACTTTCTTTTCTTTTTTTTAAAAAATTTTTAATGCTATGATTTTCAAATCTTGTGGTATAAAATAATTATTATATTTATATTACAACTGGGCAACTTGGTCAAACTATCAGGCCCAGTATAATATTTTGAGATAAAATAGGTATATATAGGATGACACTAATTTACAGTACAATAATACCTAATACATTACAAGATATATATTTTTAAATTTTAGAAAAAAAACAGAATCAGCATTAAGTGATTTTCCAGAAAATCATTCCAATATATCCAATAATAGTCATAATTATCAAAATCAAGTACAAGATTCTAAATCACAGTTAAACAACAATAACAACGAAATCGATGATTCGTGGATAAAACCGAAGAAAACTTTCAAAAATGCTTTACCACAAGTAAGTTTATTGACAGAAATGTTATAGCTGTGTGTACAAATTTATGCCACGTGATTTATATTTTAGGGATTACTTAAAGATTTTGAACCATTTTTATATAGATATAAAATACATGTATCATTTTAATTATTTGTAATTTTTGTAAAGTAGTTAATCAATATTTTTGATACATTTTTTCCAATTCAAATATTTTAAAATCTATTTTGGTACATATTTTCAACTATATAAATATCTAAGTACTAGGTATTATTTTACAAGAATAAATAAAATATCAAACAATATTATAGGAATTATTAAAAATACTTATTTAGTTTATTCAAATTAATAATAAATTAATAAAATTGTAATTTAAAAATCCTTAAAATGGTTATTGCACGAGTACAGTATTCAGTTAATACTTATTTAATATCGGCGTAAGAACAAAATTTCAGTAAATTAAGCTATTTGTTTAAAAATTATTTTATTACCTATTAGAAATTAGATTAACCTTATCAGACTATAGTCAAATACTAAAATGTAATAACAGTAATAATTGTAATAAGTACCAATATTTATAAACATAATTATACATATAAAAATCCGTAATTATATATATGTATATATATCTATTAAATATAAATTTTTAATTAAAGGGGCCTCGCTACTGCTATTATTTAAGGGGCAAAATATAGGCAATTTCTAATCTCGTCGTAGCGGTCCCGGGATATTTGTGTTAGTTGTAAATGATTGTTAGTGTGAGTACAATTCAATGGGGGTACCGCTCTCCCTTCCATACCATCAGGAAGTCACTAGTCGTAATCATATTATTATAATCGGTGTCCCGTACTCGCGTGTTGAATGGCTTCGGAGAATTCGGTTCATTAGTTTTAACTTATTATGCTATGAATTGAGAAAAATAATAATATAGTCCGCAGTGTAAAATAATTTGTATAGTTATTATTGGTATAGATTATCTGGACCGTACAAATCTGGATATATATATCTGCATATCCACATTTATTTTGTCCCTGTTACCTACTTGAAGTGGTTTTGCGTAACAAGCTAAGGGATATTTTCGATTTGCGAAGTGTAGCGACGAGTGCCAATACATGCATAATCGTATTCATACGGTTCAGATAATGTACTTTCCAGATATGTACAGTTTAGATTTATGCGGTCCAGAATTCTAAATTCTAAGTTTATACGTGGACCCATAATATATAATAAAAAAAAACAGGAAGAGTTTTAGATTATTATTATTTTTTTTGCCAGATATTATAGATAGGTATATTGTGTATATTTTGATGAATAGTTCAAGTATTATTGCATTAGTATAATATAGTTTAGGAGTTTAGGACATAGGTAGTTTAACATCAACTATTGTCATTATAATGTAGTATTATTAGTCATAGAAACAGTATACATAATAAATAAACAATCAGGGAGGGTAATAATTACGAAATTTTCTGTTAGTGCAGTTCATATAATAAATTGTTGATTAATACAATTACGTACTTATTTTTTAATTATTATAATATTGTGATAAAATAGTATTATTTAGGTAAAATTAAAATCATATGACATAATTTGTATAGTAAATAATAGCTTATATTATATTCATACGGGTATAGTGTAGTCTATTTTTTTTCTTCATTTTTACTTCCAAAATATAAGTAGGGTTTCTTATTTGCATACTTCTGAAATGTCTGGGATCAACCAATTCAGGAAGAAGGCAATTGAAGAAAAACATTTCTAGTTTTGGAAACATTTTGTTACCCCAAAATATATCATCTCGTTCAATTGTTTCATACTTTAAACCTTTATTTGTCCAATATGCTATTATACTAAATTTTCTTCTAGTGACGTGTAGTTGTCCTTGAACTTGGTAGTAATATTTATGGTTGGTATTAATTCCTATAATATCTTTGTTTTTATCAATTTTCCATAGGGTAATTTTATTTATTAATTTTAGGGAAATATAAGAAATTGCTAACATTATTATAGGATACCACGAAATAACGTATCCAATTATATTACACTGTTTAGGTTTATTTAGCTAGACTCGGTGCGATAGCGGTACGGGGGGATCTCGCACGCACTCGCACGCACATGTCATCAAGTAATATCGTGATCGCAAAAAAATGTTTATTTTTCATTCCAACATACGTTTCTAATTCCAACGCTGTGTCGACTATTATCACGATTTTCTTTCTGAAAAAATATTTGGATGCTCCGTAATATGTACGAGGGATCGATCGAGGCACATTTTAAAAATTGTATTTAGTTAATTAAATATTTAAGTTTGAAATTTCGTATTTTTTTGTATTTACAACAATATTTATTGCAATTCAAACTACAAAAATTAAGAATGTGGCTCAATTGTTCCCTTGTACATATTACGGAGCATTCGAATATTTTTTCAGAATAAAAATCGTGATAATTTTCGACACGTAGCGTTGGAATTAGAAACAGTAGTTTTTGTTAAAAAAAGACGTGGTGATGAGGCCCCTTAATAAATTAATTATAAGCCATCATATTATTTTTTACTTATTAGTTTAATAAAAAAAATTTAATTAATATGTACATTCTATTATTACCAGTATTGATACATAGAACAATACATGTTTTTTTTTAAAGAAAGATACAAGGTAACCAATCAACATCCTTTTATACAGAATATCAAGTAATAATCATTAAAAAATATATCTTTTGTCAATATTAATATTCCAAAAAAAAAAAAATAACCTACTATCATATTTTTCTTACGGGCTTAATACAGGTATTCAGCCAAAATAGCGAAAAAATAACCACGAATGTAAAAATCGCGAATAAGTAATGGCCTTTTACAAAGCTCTTATTAACATTAGTATTATAATTTGAAATTAATGAATAAAGTTTTTTAGCACAGTCCTTGTACTTTTTTTTTGTGGTTGTTCTCCAGCATTATACTGTTCTCGTCTTAATTGTTGTAAATTTTGAATTTTCTTTATTACATCAATACATTTCCATATAGTAGGTTGGCTTCCTCCTAAAGAATATTTATTATATTAATAAAAATACTAATTATTTATAAAATAAGTTATAGTTTTATCTATTTAGAAACTTATCCAAGTACTACATTAAAATGTATATTATTCAAAATAGAAATTATAAAAAACTGCAGTTTCGCTATTATGATTATTTTAAAATTAGCTATTTTTATTTTCATGATTTTTACATTCGCGGTTAATTTTTTCACTATTTTGGCCTAGACCTCTTAATACAAGATAAGCTGTAAAAAATACTACAAAATTCACTAGCTACTTGAAAACTTGATCCCGTATGAAATAGTACTTGTAAATAAAATGAATTAATTTCATGAAAAAAAATATAATTTCCTTATCTTTATTGATATTTAAAAACGGTTTACACAGGCTTCTTTACAATTTCGATTCAAAAACACTATAATGTTATATTTTTTAAATATATTTTTTTAACCTATGTTCAAATACTTACCTTATATTTTGTATAAACTCTAGTTTTATGAAATTTTTGTACATTTGTGATTAATAATTGTAGGTATGATATATCTATAAGTATGACGGATATTAATAGGTTTAATTAGTGATATGCATTATCGAATTATTCAATAGCGGTGTAACTCGTTTGTGCATATTCAAAATATTTTACCTGAAAATTAGCAAAAACTAAAACTAAAAACGAAGGACTTGTTTACTAAATACTTAGACAGTGATTTTGAAATTGACCAATGGATGAAATGTTTTTTTGGATCAAGTTATTTATTCCCTGAAGAAGGAGTTAATTTGTTTTAGATGGATTTTGTATGCTAAAAAAAAACAAAATTTACTATAACAAAATAGTACATTGAATAATAAGTAAATTAAAATGTGAGTTTATGGAATTCAAATTTGGAAAGATGCTCATCCTTCTTAAACTCGCATTATTTAAGCATTTCCAGTGAAAAAAAAAAAGATAAACCAATAATGTTCAGTGTATATATACGAATTTATTAACTCCTTTCACAGAGGGTTCTATCACAGATAGTCTACCTCCTCTAGTATTTTTCATGTGATTATAAATTATTTTATCATATTATCTTATTTGCAATAGCATAGTATGTTAATTTTTATTAAAGAAAAAAAAAATAAGATATAAAATGTACCTAATGTTAGGTTAATCATGTAGCTACTACGGTTTATACTAAAAGCTTAATAAATTAAATATCGACATTAAATAAAATGTAATGTTTTATTCAAATAATTTAAATGTTAAATACTGCCTACTCAGTATTATATATTTGATTGAAAAGAGTATTTTTCAGTTATACTTATTTGATATTAGTACTAAATAAATCGATTTTTAGAATTTCAACTGTTAGATAAATATAAGTTATTATATCATTAGATTACAGTTAAAAATATTATTCATAACTTCTTGTATAATGGTTTACATTTAATAGTATTTGTATATTTAATATTAATTTGGTATAGCTAAAATAAAATATTTATGTTTATTTAAATAATGTTTTTTTTTGTTGTAAATTATAAATATAAAAAATCCTTCTACTAAACACATATGCGAAGGTCATACGTGTATTTATTCATTAAAACGGAATCACGGTTTCTGCATTTTGTACAACTTTAACCCCTTAAACACTTTATAATTATTATTTACATTATAAAATTGAATAAATATATACAGTGACGCCGAATGAAATTGAAACTGCCAGTTCAAATAATTAAATTTACCCACCCACCCCCTTCAATTTACTGTCCATTAAAATACCAAGACATTTTTATTAAACATCTTTAATAATTAAAGATTTCATATAATATTTAATTATTAAATATACCATTTTAAATAGAAAATACTTGTCGAGTAATATATAAAAAAATTAATTTAAATTTTATAATAATAATTTTTATTTTTTTTAATATTCCAATTTTCTAGTCAGTTCAATTGAACTACCTGGAGTATGTGTTTGATGCCACTGTATATATATATATATATATATATTATTGTTGAATATTATAACACTCAAATAAAATTTTATAATTTATACTTACCTATTTACTATTTACCATCTACATGGACGTATACACATATTTTTTAAAGTTCAGTTAGACACAGTTAACATTGTCAAAAGACCAATAGATCAAATTTGAAACATTCAATGTAGAATTACAAAATAAAAACCGCTAATTATATAGTACTTACTATTTGTTTGAATTTTTGCTATAGATATTAGCTGTATCAGCTAAAAATTGTCTACTCTTAACCTATGGAATGACGTTGGGACTACCAACAATAGCTATTCCAGCTTTATATCATACATCAGCATCAAATAGCTCTAGTTTTAGACATGACGAACTGCTTCAACTCAATAAAGAACAGACATCATGGTTCAGTAAGTATTTAACTATGGTACTGTTCTTAATATGTTTAGTCTTGCAGTATGTATAAATGGTGTATATTAATAATTATATAAATTCTAGGTAGCATAAATTTAATATGTGTTCCACTAGGATGCATAATATCTGGAACTATCACTCAACCTTTTGGAAGAAAACCTAGCATGATTGCACTAACTTTACCATTTTTATTAGCTTGGTTCTTATTTTATTATGCTTCGACAGTAATTGAGCTCTACTTAGCTTTAGCACTTTGTGGTCTTTGCGGTGGCTTGTTAGAAGCTCCAGTGAGTATATTAAATATTACTTGCTCTAGTTGTTTGATACATAAAGTATAACATTATTTGTAAAAATGTGATTGTAGGTGTTGACATATGTTGCTGAAATTACAGAACCTCATCTTCGAGGAGTGCTTGGTGCTTTATCATCAACTACAGTCATACTTGGATCTATATCGCAATTTATTTTGGGAGATTTTCTACACTGGAGAAAAGTAGTACTTTATAACACTATCGTACCTGTAATTGCATTGATATCGCTATTACTTATACCAGAAAGTCCTCATTGGCTTATAAGTGAGATCCCGTAATTGGTTATAATAAAAATTCAAACTTAAATATTCATATTTATGTTTATGTTTAAATTTAAATACTAGTAAAGACTTCCTTTTAATAGAATATAACATCTTATGAATTTGTAATTTAGGTAAAGGCCGAATTGCAGATGCTGAAAAATCTCTTTGTTGGCTTCGTGGTTGGGTTAAACCAGATGCCGTACAATATGAGCTATCAATGTTAAGTAAATCAATAGCATTAAACGAAGAAAAAGTTAGAATGAAACAGAACAAAAAATTTTATAGTTTTTATATGAAACGAACATTTTTATTGCCTTATTTTATTATAACTGCAACTTTCTTTTTTGGAAACTTTGGTGGAATGAGTACATTGCAAGTGAATGCAGTAAGTTTGAACAATAAATATCTATTTCCCGATTTTTTTTTTTTTTTTTTAATAATTAATTAATAGGTCCAAATTTTTGAAACATTGGGATCTCCAATTAATGGTTACACGTCTACATTAATCCTTGGAATGGCACAATTGTCGGGAAGTATTATTTGCCTTATATTAATTCACTGGACTGGTAAACGCCCATTGACATTGGTATCTACACTAGGAACATCCTTATGTTTTTTCGTCGTGTCAGCATATGTATTCACAAAACAATACAACGAGCAAATAATAGCTAACGTCACTTGGATACCGTTAGTGTTTTTAAATATGGCTGCTTTTATGACGCATATTTCCATCAGGTTACTGCCATGGATGTTAATAGGAGAGGTAATCAAATAAAAATTATAGTGCCTGAACACAATATATATGTTTAATCATAATTAATTTTTTAGGTATACCCACCAAATATTCGAGCCTATGCAAGTGGGGCCAGTGGTTCTAGTTCCTATATATTTGCTTTTATTGCTAATAAATCATACTTTATGGTACTTGATCATATTAACTTATCTGGGACATTTCTTTTATATGCTATAGTAAGTATTGTTGGATGTGTTGTGTTGTACACAATGATGCCAGAAACAGAAGGAGTACCTTTAGAGGACATACAAGAACATTTTGCAAATAAATCTAAAACATTTGTTATAAAAATTGAAAGAAGCGACAAAATTAGAAGAAAGAAAACGTGGGCAATAAGTAATCCTGCTTTAGAAGTAGATCAAACAGAAACCCACATATAATTTTAATAGTTGATTATTTAATTTATTTTTGTAAAGTGTGACGCAATAAACAGTAATATGAATATTTTGTAATTATTAAATAAATGTATGTTATATGAAATTTTTGTCTTTAAAAAGATAAATTATAATTTTTAATAACTACCTTTAATTTTTTATTATTCTCCAATTTTTAAATTATTTTACTTATATCAGTTTTCGAAAAACTTTTCATTTGTTGAAAATTGTTGAATGGTTCTCTTCATTATTGTATGACTTCGACAAAAAAAATATTGCCGTTTTTACAAACTATTTTTAGTATTATAATAAATAATAAATAAAAAACTACATAATAACAGACGGAGCCGTTTAAAAAAAACATGTGTCACATAGGGTCGGGTGAGATATAGATTTTTAGTTTTAATATGTAAAAAATTAGGTAAGTATGAAATCATATTTCCCTTTTCTTGGCATAAGTTACTTTTAATGAATATAAAAGCCATGTAATCATGAAGGAAAAAACTATTAAATAAATAGTTTCATAAAAAAATATTAATTCAAAAAGAAGATAAGTAGGCAGCAGAATATTATAGAGAATATTCATCAGCAAGGACTAACCCGACGACTCCTATTCTAAAATAATATATTTTTGCAAGACACCCAAATACTCTACTCCATGTAAGTGCATTAATATTTTAGAGCATATAATGAATAATAAACCGAATGGCAGCTGCATAGTAATTATAAGTTACCGAATGCAAATAAAACTGTCAAGTGAACAAAGTAAGTTGTTACTAAATCAAGTTGAAATTTTAAAGATAGAATAAGTTGAAAAATGTATGTAGACTTTTACGTTTATTATAATAGAATAGCTCAGCAAAAAATAAAATAAAATAATTTTATAAACTAATAAAATAATTGTAACTTCTTTAAAAGTAGGTACTTTTGTGTAATACTAAAGTAGATAAAAAAAATTATTCCTTAAGTTTTAACTTGTATAATGTATCAAACCGAATTATAATATTTATATATCAGTTATAGAATCTAGAAATAATAGATTATAGTAATAACTAATAATATTCATGATTTTATATATCTAACGATGAATTTTAATTCCAAACTGTCGTACTTTACAATTATAATAGGCTAAGCTTATATTTCGCAACAAACGAATTGCGTTCCAAGATCCCTTTTTCATTCGAATTGCGTCCCGATAATATTTAACAATTACACTAATTGCATTCCGATAATATTCAACAAATATACTCATTACGTCCGATGTAAATACATTATTTTCCTTCCCATTTCATACAAACTTAAGACTGTCAATAGCATCATTAAATATAAGGTAGGTTAAACATTTTTTTTTTTATCGTTTTGTAATTATATACATCAAAAATATTGTTTTCGTCGTTAAATTTAAAAATAAAAGAATAATTAAAAATAATTTCAAAAAAAATGTTATATGTAGGTATGTAAGTTTTATATATATGTTATTATACCTAATATTATTTATGGTTCGGTAAAAATTTGAACAATACAGTTTTGACATAATCACAACATGTTATTTCGTTCACGTCGTATTTAATCATTTGTTTTCTTAAAAATTCTTGTTTTTCGCATATTTCACGTCTTATTTTCTTTCTTTGATTATTGCTGTGAATTTTTATGTAAGTATATTTTTGTACATTTTTAAGTATATCAATAAATCTATAGATATTTGGATGAGTAGAATAAAACATATCGTTAAATTTTGAAAGGAAAGCTTCCGTGTAATTGAACGTAAATACGCTGTTGAAATAAATCGTTTATAAAAAAATTTAAAAATTATTTATAATAAATGAATAATAAAATAAATTAATTATCATAACGTCACACACAACTAAGCTCATATTATTAAATAGAAATAGAATAGCGGACAATTGTCAACGAGACGGAATCGAAAGACATACTTACCGATTACATTTATTTCATAAGTGCTCTATAGTCGTATCGATTATTGGTTGAGATTATCAAAGGTATATATTCTGATATCAGATAATCGAGACGCAATTCGTATGCAGCCTTAGGCTTATATATTTATTTCTATATATAAGCTATTTGTTTATTTATTTATATATTGATGATAACTAATTAGTTAACTGCGAGTACTTTTATAATACCTATGTAATTTAAAGCTTTGTTGAGTTACGGTAAAATAATCTGTTCTATTTAATATACTTGTATTTACGATGCGAATCTGTCAAAACAATGCGCGGTGTTGTCATAACATGCAAAATTCGGCCGGATGTAAATTGTCGGGATATTCTTAGCTGAAGTAGACCAGCATATCAATACAAATGATTTTAAATTTGAAAATCATTAATGAATCATAATCATTTAAATATATAGTAATAATTCTGATTAAAACCATTCGAAAAATGCTTTATTGCCGAACGTTAAATATCTCAGTAGAATGCATTCAATTAAAGACGTAAACATTCGTTGTTTGTTAATCATGCCGAATATTCTTGAATGTTTTTAATGTATTTGGGATAATATCAACATATAAAAAATATTTGTCATTCGGCGAACATTGTACGTGTTAAGTCACCTTTCTTTTATATTAATACACATATTAATAACTATTTAACTATAAAAATAACTGCGATTAAACTACCAAGACTTTCGAGTTTCATCAGTTTTGAAATATTGTAAGTCAAAGACGGCACGATTTTAAATCTAATGAAATAAAATTAACTTTAGTTTATATTTAAGCATTTTATTCAAACTACATTTTCAGTTATTCTAATTTCTAAATAGTTCCAACTGTAATTTATAATGATTATTAATGGAGTGTGAAAAATGACATAATTTTATACAACTTTACATAGACATTTGTTATCGCAAATATCAACATGACAACATTCTAGTTTTTATTTTCTATGGCTGTTTATAAATTATCTGAAATAAATTTAATTTTAATTAAATATGGTGACTGGTAATATATTGTCGAGAAGTTATTAAAAATGTAATTCATTGTATCGATGCATTTAAATGACCTTGACCAGTTGAAGTTTGGAAAACCGTACTTACCAACATTTTGCAAACTTGGTGAGTATGTTTTTTATACTACTCGTATATTATTTGATTGAAGGGCATCCGAATTAATTTGCCTCATGCTTTAAAAATCCTTAGGATCGCTCTAAATAGCATATATGTATGGTAAATTGTAAATTTAGATACAAATTAAAATTTTAAGAAATATGTATGTATAAATGTATGTATTGGATAATAATTTTGATCTAAATGATTTAATGTCTTATGAGAAAAATTTATATTTTTAAATTCAGGATTTACTAATAAGGAAATACTGATTTTTTTTTTACAAAAATTTACGATTTGAGTCAACGCGACGGTCAACAATCTTCTGCAGCAACGAAGATAAAGGATACATTAATTTTTATTACAGTTCACTGTATAATATTATCGATTGGTACATGATACAACACGATAAATTAGATATAGCATAATTATTGGTATGTAACTTGTATTTACAAAAAATTATAACCGATTCTGTACGATTTAAATTTTTCTAACTATTCTGTTGGTAGCCTAAAAGTTTAGGACTCTTAAATGATCAATAAAAAAATATTTGAATATTTTTTTTTTGTCATGTATAAAAAAACTTTTTGGTGGATTTGAGGATGCTTTTTTCCCCCCTCCCCCTTGGTTAATTTTTATTTTCTGCAATAGGTTTCATTCTTAATATATATATTTTATTTCTAAGATATATATCTTATTTCATAGTCTAAACTCTCCTCGGTCGTTACACATTTAAATATCTTGAATAATAAACTTCACAATGTCTACTGCATTAGGTATATACTTTTAAACACCATTCGAATGTTTTATTTTTACATTTTTTTTATTTGATTCAAAATTAAATTAATTGAATTGATAAGCAAGATATTATCGTATTTTGAACAATATTTAATAATGTAATTATTTGCTCTTTTACATAACTGTTATCATTGTAAAATTACGTTTATATGAAAACAATATGTAGTAATTGTTGTAAAAACAAATATATATATATATATATAAATAATATATATATATATATATATATATATATATATATTATTTATATGTTTAATTACTAATTTATTTTCTTTTGTACAATATGTTTTTAATGATTATATATTCTAGTAAACTAGTAGTTTTTCCCAATACCCTAAGTATAATGTAAAATAATATAGATGAACATAGCGATGTTAAATTTTATAATACTCCTATAGAATAATAGTTAAGAGTAAATTATTTATTTCAATAATAAACTGTCATATTAGTTTAGGTATTTAATATCGTATTTTATTCAAACTTTTAAATCTAAAAAAAATCTCTCCCCTATCTAAAAATTAAATTTTTTTAGTTGGTATTAAAAAATGTATAATGATAAGTAGCCTCAAGATTTTGATTTGCACACAGGCCTCGAATGCCGTCTAGTTATGACACCGATTTCCACCGTTACATATGAAAACCAAATTAATAAAACTATTGACTAGTACACGTAAGTAATATCAGCATGAGCGTAAGCATTCGGTATTCTATGATATAGGTACGTGACGGACATGGTCAACGGAACATGGAAACGATCAAATCAAATACGCAACGCAATGTTTTGGTACAGTGAAGACGGTTTAGTCATCAAAACCTCAACGGAATGGGTTCATGCAGCGTACTTAAAGGTGATATTTTTATACGGGACGGTCTCGTTTTTCGTATCGTTTTATCCCGTCGTCCCCTGGCCAATCTTCGGGACATCGAAATGTCCTGTTTTCAAAAAGTGGTAAAAAAATAACGATAGTCAATTTTAATTTGTTAACGAATTATTGTTTCCATTACATTTAACCAGTGCGTATGAGTGTGTGTATGTGACGTGTACTACATTGACGTTGAACGGCGTCGGAGACTCGGAGCTGTGTGGTGTATCCGGGGTAGAAATCTAACTAGGATCATTGCATTTTGTTCCACAAAATAGTTTTTTTTTCCGCAGTATTATTGTTCAAAAGTAAATCGATTTTTTGTCCCGTGACAATTGTTTCGAACCTTTTTCTTCCTATGCCGTTTTGTTCCAATGTACTTTCTTCAAAGAATACTTTGTTCCGCAATATATTTTTTCAGCAAAACACTTGTTCCAAACGTGGAAATTATTAGAAAACCTACTATTGATAACAACTATAAAATAATTATAATAAGATAAATATGAAAAAACAGAATTGGATAGAAACAGATTTGCTTAGCCATTCGGATATCAATTTTTTTTGTTAATTTCTATTTTGTTGCAACATTCTAAACTTTTAAAAAAATAAAAATTAAACAATTTGCTTGGTTTAATCATGATAATTGGTGGCCTATTTCAACCCGGGAGTAAATTTTTGAGTTTAAATAATATCTAAATAAGGACCATCTGAAAATCAAATGAGATTGCCTGAATTATATCATGATTATATGGTCAATGATTCGCAATTGTGTTGAGTATGTTTACTTAAACTCTTAACACATACAATTTCTCAATAGAAATGATAAAGAATCGCTGTTCTATTGAACGCATTATCAGGAAGAGAGAACTGATATAAATAAATGGAAGTTTATTACTTTTATGTAGATATTTATACTGTAAATATGTAAATATAATAGGTATTATTTTTATTCATATTAAATTTTGAATTGTAAATCTACATTGAGTTAATAAGTCATCTAAATAATATGAACAAATTTTGCTTACAAATAGCGAATTTAATTTATCGAAATTCTTATGGTCAATAATTGCTCAAGGTATCAAAAATATTGTTATCCATCTAACAAACTTTTAATAATCCAAGATTATTGTAATAATTAAATCTGAACATTAATTTGAGTGAATTTGACTGTACACTTGTTTATTTGGAAATAAATCTGTATACTATTCGTTTTAAAAACTATTTATTATCACTTTAATTGTATACGTACCTATTTTATATAATATTTTAGACATAACAAATACTTATCTCTAAATAGAATAAATTGCAAGACAGCAGATATTAAAAATCATATAAAAATTAAAAGATACAGACAGGACACACATGTGTAAATTATTGAAATTCTTGAAGAAATACTACTTTTACTAAGTCAAACATCAATTAGTAGTCAAGTAGTCACAATAATTCACTAGAGTGATTACTGATGATTGTACTGGAGAAAGTATTTCGAGAGATGAACGTTCGAGGAGTTACTCTAGGTCACATTACAATAGAATATTTAGCATACACAGACGATATCGCTATATTTAGATATGATAAAACGTTTAGTAAACAAACTAATAAGTACGGCAAAAAAAGTAGGACTAATAGTTAATGATGATAAAAAAGAATACTTAATAGTTAACTCAAGAAATAGGAACTGTGGACAAGAATATATCAAAATAGAAGAACATAGTTTCAAAATAGTGTCACAATTTAAATACCAAATATTATTTTAAATTTAAAATTATGTGTATTGGTTAGGATATGTATGTAATCTATCTTCATAACTTGAAACAAGTTTTTTTTGCTTAGATTTTGATCGATTCGTCATAACTTTAATTTACTTAAATATCCCATCATCCATTTGGCTAGTATAAGGTATGACAAATTATGTTGGTATTTGAATAATCTTTGTGGTCACTCATTAAAGGGAATTTGACCCGAATATATCCTTTGGTATTTTGATTTCCATCAAACCAGCCAAATAAGGGTATCCAACGAATAACAAGTTAACTGATTGTCCCTCAGTTATAGCCTGACCAGAACATTGGATACATATAACATTTGGAAGACAATCATAATCGGAATTTTTTTTTTCCTCTTCACTGAATATATATATCTGATGGATATTGAGTTTGAGGGCAGCTGTCAGTTTCTTGGACGATTGTCCCTTACAAAAAAAAAAAAATATATAAACCTATATCTATATATAATTATTGTAATATTTTTTTTAATTTTTAGTTTGAAAATTAATATTATATTAACACACATTGAGTGATCGTTCTCGGTGACTTGGTCCAGGCTGTTGCTGAGAGCTTACACAGCAGTCTGCAATATAAATTATATTATTACTTGAAGTGACGTTTTTTACTCTACAAGTACGCTATTCTTCTCAGTGATGGTTTGTGTATAAGTTCACAAGCGCACGTGCACTACCTACCCAAACTCAAAAAAAAAAAAATTGAAAACATTAATCATAATAATACAACTAAATACCTGTAGTGTTATGAATATTATTTTTCAAAATATAAAAATATAAATTCAGAATGTTATGAAAATAATATAATATTTATGTTGGGTTATTTCGAAGGCTAAACGGGCAGTTGTCCGCGACGGAACGATATCAGTGTGTGTGTTACAGTGGTGCAGTAGTGCACACTATTGCTGTGTACATTTGTACAATGTAAAAATTAAAACATGTGAAGACACGCAAAACGCGTTATAATGGAATTGATGTGCACATTCGTTTCTGTGCACATAACCAATTGTTTTCAGCGAATTATTTTCTATGTCGCCGCGGATGTTGCGCGTTGGCATTGGCATTATGATTTATTCTTACTCTCGTTTGTTTATTATATTCCGATTGTCGGCTGATAATGTTAGTCATTATCTTAAATTCAAAACAACAATCACGTTTCTGTTTACTATCGACCACCGACGTTAACACTTATTATTATTCGTGTAACTAACGTACAGCAATTCATTTATATAGTTATAGATAAGTAAGTTATATGTACCTATACCTATGTTAAAATTAATATTTTTTTTTACTCTCCTACATATCTTAAAAAACATTTGTGCACCACATTATGTGAACCTCACGAGCCGCCACTGATTTTTCTACTACCTATGAAAAACACAAAAATGTTTGTCGTATTAATCATATTAACTTATAATCTAGAGACATATTTTTTATAGATTAATTTATAACAACATTTTATTTGTGAATAAATCTTGGTTCGGTACAATTTTTAAAACCAAAGCTCAATAAATTTATTTAATCTTTTTATTATTTTTTAATTTATGTATTAATATGTTATTTAATTATTTTTGTTTTGTTTCTTCAAAGCATGATGGTACATAATTTTGTTCCTAATTATTTTTTTTTTTTTTTTTGTCCCGTTTGGATAGAAATATATATTGTTCTTACTTTATAGTTCTTTCGGAATGATAAGGATGAGTAAAAGACGATTATAATGAACTATAAAGAATTATAAAGAAGAAGTTTGAATAATTTTGAAGAGGAATCTTCTCTGCACCGAAGGATGAGTGATGTACGAAAATAAATTTGAAATGCTACCTCGATCTACCAACTTAAAAACTCTGCTACCTATTACCAATTCGGATAGTTGTACCTTCTATAAAACAGTTGTCCGCACTGTCAGGTCTAACCTCACTTATCATAATCAAACAGCCGTCTCTCAAAACGTTTTGCTTACCTTTTTCTGGGCAGTGTTAATCTTGAAAATGTTTTATGGTCTTTAATTTCTATATTGTGTGCGTCCAATAACTAGGATTCAACATGAAGGTAAATCAATATTATTATTATATACTTTAGCGATACTACAAACTTTGACTGAAGTCAATTGGATATCCTCTGAGATGGAAATGGATAAAATTACGAGTTTTGTTAGTCGTTCACGTCAACGGCATTTTTACATGTTACTCTATAAATCTCTATAATATCAATGACTAATTTATAATAATTTGAAAGTCAATTTTCCCGAAATAATTATGCTATTTTATTGCCCATTTAGTCATTGAACATTGATGCTAATTCTTAATTATTTGCTTTTTCTTGATTCAGTTTATGTGCTAATATCTACTTAGCAGTATCTAAATTCGAATTTATAAATATTAATTTAAATCTATCAATAGTTAAAATATGGCTTCTAATAAAAAAATATACATTTTTATTCGTCTTGTTGATCTCTTTGAAATAGTATTCATTTTAATATATTATGCTTAAAATATCTTGCATAGTATTATTTTAATACATTTATTGTTCAATGAGTTAGATTTAAATTTTTAGACTAATATACTAGATTATATGAAATAATATCTATGGACTTAATAATTTTTCTCATTTTTAATAATTTATTGCCTTAACCTACTTTTTATATTAATTTCGTAACTATAAGTATGTTAAAATTAATTAATTTAATTTGTATTTTTTTATAGTTAAATGTATCGTATCCTGCCACAGGCAGCCAAAAATTGTTTGAAATTGTAGATGAACATAAGCTGCGTGTATTTTACGAAAAACGTATTGGTACTGAAGTTGAAGTTGATATACTTGGTGATGAATGGAAAGGATATGTTCTAAAAATATCTGGTGGCAATGATAAGCAAGGATTTCCCATGAAACAAGGTGTTCTCTCTAATGTCCGAGTACGGTTATTATTGTCAAAGGGACATTCTTGCTACCGTCCACGAAGGGATGGTGAACGCAAGAGAAAATCCGTGCGTGGATGCATCGTTGATTCCAATCTTAGTGTTTTATCTCTGGTTGTGGTCAAAAAAGGAGAAAAGGTATTTATTTCATATTGAATCATATTCATTTTAAACAAATTAAGTAATCCGACATTTTCCTGTAAACTCATGTATCTTCAATGTTTTTGCATCGGAATGTCGGTACAATAATTTCTACTTAAAGTTTTAGGAATGTTTACTTTTAATCATTCTTAGTGTATAAGTAGTACATTTTTAAATTCTATATAAAATTCTTACTATGATTTGTTTCACCTGATATTTTCCTATGAACTCCTATTTTTCATGCTTTTGCGTCAGAATTTCTGTATAAACGCCTACATAAAGTTTTAGGAACGCTTATTGTTGATCATTTTTAGTGTATAATTGGTATATTTCTATAAATAATATGTTCTATGATTTATTTTACCCAACATTTTCCTGTTGATTTATTCTAAATAATATTTTGACATCGGAATGTTGGAACATAATTATTCATTTAATGTTTTAATAGTGATTATTTTTTTTTATTGATCATTGTTAGTGTGTAATTGATACATTTTTATTTCTTTTTTTCTTTTTTTTTTTTAAATCGAAATAAAGTTTTATAATTTTTAAAAATTTGTTATAGGACATTGCTGGTTTAACAGACACAAATGTTCCTCGTCGTCTTGGACCTAAGCGTGCAAATAAGATCCGTAAATTATTCAATTTGCAAAAGGAAGATGATGTACGTAAGTATGTGATCAAAAGGCCTTTGCCGATCAAGGAAGGAAAGACAAAACAATATTTCAAAGCACCCAAAATTCAACGTCTTATTACTCCAGTCCGCCTTCAGGTAATATATTTTCTTATATTATAGTTAATTATCATTAAATTATTATTTTTAATTTTTAGCGTAAACGTCATAACTTGGCATTGAAAAAGAAGCGTTGTTTGAAACGTAAAGAACAGGCTGCTGAATATGCTAAGCTTCTTGCACACAGACAAAAGGAAAAGTTGGCAAAGAAACGTGCTGAACAGACTCGTAAACGTACAATGTCTCAATCATCTGTTTCTAGCTCTGGTACTAAGAGTAGTAAAAAATAAAACTGATTAAATAAATTTATTTTTAATCTTAGTTGATGGTATTTTTTTTTGTGTCTTTTAAAATCCTACAACAAATTTCTCTTATCAAAATATATAATGTGTTAATGAAAAAATAAACAATTTATTCTCGTTCGCAGGATTTAATTTCCTATGTGAAAAAAAAATTTCTTTTCTATAGAGACAAGACTTCCATAAAATTTTTGTAAAACATCTTGCATGTTGGAGATAATTAATTTTATTATAAAATAAAGGAGTTTCCTTAAGAGTTTTAATCATATAAAAGTTAATTTTTTTTTCGATTCCTCCAAGTATACCAAAATCTTAATCAATTTGCTACTTTTTCACATAAAATATATAATCCTGCAAACTGTTATGTAGTTAAAATCATAATTCTTAACACAACTAGTTATGTACTAATGGATGTATCTAAAAAGATATTTAAAAAGCAGTCAAAATATTTAATGTTAAGTCTTAAAAACTTAATAATTAATTTTAAAACATAAAAAATTGATATTTACTCTGAATGTAGCAAGTGATTATTTTTCAATTAAAATGTACATAACTTAATATTCCTTTTTTTTATGAATTGTTTTGATTGGTCTTACTATTTTATTTAATATTGTGAACCCCATTTTGAAAAAAATTTTAGTTGAGTTATCTAAATTACAGTGGCTTTTATTATTTCCTTTGACTAGTGAAGAAGTAATACAAAATAAATTTCAAATTTGTTGTATTATAGCATTTGATATTTATTTAGTAATCAAATAAATGCTGGAACTATACCTTAATTCTATATATATATCAAAAGTTATCATTGTTGGTTTAAAATTTTGAGTTAAGCATTAGTAAATAAAATAATGTTTGATTCTTTTTAGTTCTAGTAAATAATTGTAGATTTTAACAGACTGATAAATGTTTCTATTTAAAATTTCAAACATCCATTTTTAAATTTTTGCTTAAGAATTGCGCATTTAACTTTTAATTAAATTAGAAAAGAGTATTTTATTTGAACAATTTGTATGTATGGGAGATGTTAAATTTTATAATATAGAAATTACATAATGATAGGGCCCGTAATTATGTGCAATAAAAACGTATGAAATATGCATGCATTTATGCGATGGCTATAATTCAAATATGCAAACAAAAATGCATGTTTATTTTTTATTAAATTTATTTAATTTTAAAATGTATACAATTTATTAAATAATTAATATTGGACAAAAAATATATCAACTGTATTTTATATACTTGATGGAACTGTATGTTGTATTGAAATTAAATTATATTTTGAACACTCACTCATCTAAACGAAAATCAAGCAGATTTTTATATTTTTAAAGTTACCCGGAGACTTACTATTGTATTGGTACTTTTAGCAAACTTTATTTTATCTTGATGATTTAACACAAAACATCAAATTATATAACTGCACGATTCACGGAATTTACGATGGATATGCGCTAAGTAATAAATAATAATACTAATGACTTCGTAATATTTTTTTCTATATATACATTATATTTCAGAAAAATGCTAAAATATGCATAATAATTTGAAATATTCCAAATATTCAAAAATATGCCAAATTTAATTTCGCATACCAACACATTAGAATAAGATTCAAATTTCTGTCTTACCTAGCTACTTATTAGTTTAATATATAAAAATATGCATTTGCATACAATTCCGGGCCCTAATAATAACTATTATTGAAATTGATAGTAAATAAATTTATTATTTATTGGTTTTATGAAACAATGAAAATTGTAGTAACTTGGTCCTAGTGAATCCATAGGTTTCTAAATGATAATTTTTCTCCAATAATAATTACACTTGTTCTTAGATTGGTAATTGGAAATTTCAATAATGTTAAAAACCCAAAGTTTTTCATTACTAAATTGTAATACATAGGATAGAATTGTAAAATAAGAAGTATTTAAATTAGTTGATAAAGGTATTTTATTGTTGCGTACAAATTGTAACATTTAACATATAATAATTATTATAATATACATTTCGTAAAAAAAAAAAGATACCTTGTCTACAAAGTTAAATACATGATACAATTATTAACAAATAATTCATAAACTAACAATTATTTAAAGTCAATCAATAACTGACTATTCAATAAAGGACTGTAGATAAAACTACATCCATTATTAATAACTTCAATAATTTAATATGAGCAGATAACATTAATACATAAAAATGATTTACATAAAGTAGTTAAATTATCACTTGTAATTTGAAAGCTCGAGTTCCTTAAAAAGATGACGACAGTACTGACTCCCAATTGATAATGGGTAATCACATTTTAACAATAATTTTGAATCGCTTTCTGATACACTTTCAAAAGCTAAAAAATACTCTTGATCAAAAGCACCTAAAACAATAAAATATTTTAAATAATATGATACTACACAAGATTGAATATAATAAACATAAAATATAACTTTAGTTTGATTTTTGTTGTTAAAACGTATCATACATACGTTTAAATAAAACAACATTTTTATTAAATAGGAAACACAAAATTGAATTAAAAAATCAAAAAAAAAAAAATCAAATGAGAGATGATAAAATAACTGCATTGATGTTTAGACATTGGAGACAAACATAGAGTGACATTGAAGTATGGCAAATCTTAACTTACTTATGTCAATGTTTTCACGACCAATAGCCGTAATGGTTAAGAATAAAATATCCCTGTATAAAGAATGGCTATGAGCTAAATCATTTCCTCGCAACTTATTTCTTTCAATAGCTAGTTTTTTGAGTGGATCGGTTAGATTATTATGCCGAATGTTTGATATAATTTTTGACATCACACTGAAACAAAATGAGTACTTTAGTAGTATAATTGTATGTTAACAATAATATAATATGTTTGTGGGTAAATGGTTTTTAATTGAAAAAATAAAAAGTTGCCAATGTACAATATAAATAATTATATAAAATAATAAACATACGTAACATTTAATATAAAATATTTCAATTTAAGTATAACTCACTTTTTAGGTATAGTATTACGATCAGTAACCAAAGCACTTATCAAACAACTCTCTTTTGACTCTTCATCAGACCAAAACGCGTACATAGGTAAACCTAAATCATCATATAGTTTTGGATTATCCCACAAAGTTGTAATTAATATATTAGAACAATCGCAAGTTGACCAAATAGTATGAAAATCAATGATATCACGATCACCCAGTATACAATTTGCATTTAGACATAATCCAGAAATATGAGAAGGAACTGCTATCCTTTCAAACACCCAAACCTGAAAACAATTTTAAATTAATCAAGACATGATGCAATGTTTGAATCATTTGATTTATTCAAATCACTTACTAAATTCCAATATATTATAGGATGTTCATCGACAAACTTTGAGTGAGTTAATGAAATATCACCTTCGGCAACCAAAATAGACTCGAGTTCTTTACGCAAAACAAGAGGATTTAAAAAAGGAACCGTTATTGTATCAGCTTTATATCCACTATTTGCTACTTCTGTAAATAAGACAAAAAATATCACTTAATGAAAATATGGATAGGAACCACTCAAAATTGAATAGAAATATCATATACAATATATAATTGGAAAATAAATTCAGTACAAGAAAAATTAATAAAATCAACAACATACCTCTTTCCTTATGTTCGGTTAGTAAATCTATATTTTCTTGATTATTGTGACAGTCATTTTTATCTATTACATTACTATTTTTTGATCGATAGTCAATGACATCTACTGTCAAAAATGGTACTACTTCTTTCATACATAGTCTACATCTGTTTATACAAAATTAAATTAAAATGTTTAAAACATTTTGATTCACATTAATTAGATGATTAAATAATTACTTGGTGTTTAAATTAGAATCATCTGGAACCCAACCAGACATAATTTCTTCATCAAATAATAAACATGCGCAATTGTGACATTTTGAACAAGTGGTCATGATAATTTCTAAAGCAACTAATTCTGGTGTACGGCTAGAGCGATTGTAAAGTTTTTCTTGAAATAAACTCATTTGTGATGAATCCATTGTTGCGCAACCTAATATTTAAATAAATTGTGAAAATAAATTTGTTACTAAAATGTATATTATAATTTTAAGCTTGAGAAAAAAAAATTTTTTACCAGAATTCATATTAGTAGAACTACTCTTCCTATTACCATCCGTAAAAAGTTCAATTAAATTAGAGCTCCAAGAATCTAAATGTTGAGCAACAGCAAGATTAGATATTTCACTAGATATTTTACGTCTAACGCTCGGTTCATTATTAGACTGTTGATCATGGTCATCTCCAGTCCAGTTTTCTTCTTCCCTTTGACATCTAAATAATGATAATATTAAATTAACTTTTTTATTTTTTGTATGGCATATACAAGTTTTACAAGGCAAAAAGTGGCATAAATATATCATTAAAAATTTTTGAAAATAAAGTGAATATGAGAACATTAACATATAATAGAATGTAACATTAAATACAATAATATTAATAGTATATTAAATAATTATAATTCATCAAAATAAATAATGTAATTAATTCTATAAAACAACATTTAACAACAATATTATTAAGCCGGGTACACACCGAAGCATTTAATTGTTATGTAACAAAGTTCCTGCTCATTTGAATGTTATATGTTACCAACGACAGGTGTGTTCGTTTAGGGTTGATCAATACTCTGTATTGGTTGTTCACCGCGTTGTCCATCAGTTATTACAAATATTTATAAAATTAATATACAAGTACATCACTGAGCGATTTTCTATGAGCAACTGGTTTAACTCTGTACTAGTGTCATGTCTTAATGTAACATTCCTTTGATGTTCGTCAAAATACCAACACTCGGGTGGATCAACGGCGTCGAGAGCCAAACACACTCGAATGATACAGTATCTGAGTACACATCTGAACATTACATTTTCATAACTGCGTTACATTACACTTAAATGCTTCAGTATGTACCCGGTTTTGGACTTACAATAATTAAGTTCTTCTATTTTGGAATGTAGGTTGAAATGTTATATAAATATTTTGATTAATTTAGTTTAAAATTTTTTTTAAATAAGTGATACTAACTGGACATAATCTTTTATAGGTGTATTATTTGTCGATATTGCTTCTTTAATTTCATCAAACTTTTTCACTACAGTATTTGCTGCACTCTTTAAACTAGTCAAACCACCCATGAGAAGCTCATTTGATTTTTTTCCAGAAAAACTTGATGAGCTGAAAAAATATTAAATTTTTATACTTATAGGTATAATTGTTATGGATAGATTAATTTTTAAATAGATTTCAATAAGAACTTAACAATTTTAATAATATTTTTCAATGGTTTAAAAAAGATCATTCTCATGAATAGTAATAAATATATTACAATATTATTATTATTATTATTATTATTATATATATTAGTTTACACTGAAGCTATGTTGATATCAAAAATTAAAAATAATTCAATTATAAATACTTTACTATAACTTATTAAATCGAGTTACAGTGTAAATAATTTTACTTTACCTGAGATTGGTGAATGCATTTTCAATAATGTTCGAACCCATACGGAAGTCAGACTTACGTGGTAACGAAAATTTTGTTGGAGTATATTGACTGTAAACGGAAACAATAACTAAAACTACTTAAGCAAAAAAAATTCTACAGTCTAAAATTACAAAATATACAAATAATTCTCATTGATCAAAATAATAAAACACAAAAGCAATTCAAACTTTTAATTAATAAAACGATAAATATTATTTAACAAAATGAAATAATATATACTTCACAGAAGGTTTATTTGAAAATATGACAAATATAAATATAACATTTTAATTTACTAATTAATTTTCATAATTTTTTACAGAATCACTTTTATTTGTTAATTGACTTTTTGTACAAATAAATTTATATTTTTTAAAAAAATATAAAATTGTTTTGAAATTATAAAAAAAATAATACAGGAAGAAAAACATATTTTTCCTTATTAAAACGATTAAGTATGGAGCATTTATGATAATAAACCTAAATAATATTTAAATAAATTAGATAAAAATATTAAATTTCATTTTATATTTTAAAAATTAAAAACAATAATAGCATAATTTAAAATTAATATGCATACAGAAACCATATATATTGAAATGTTGTCATACTATGAACTGCAAGCATAAAATACAAGCTCTTAGCTGTAATTTTATAGAAATAAAATAAATATTTAGTATATATCTACCAATTTTATACACATGGATTGTTGTAATTTTATAAAATAGCTTTATTATATATTTATTTATTATGTTTTTTTTAGAATTATTATGGTTAAATCACTAAACTAGAAGTGGTAGGGCATTTTCTATCAAATGCCCAAGAGTGAGATCACCAAAATAGGTAAAAAGTACATAAGTTTACTCTTTTGTGATTTAAAAATTATATACAATGATATAATTTAAGAGTAAACATTTGTTAATGGTTTGTAACTTTTAAAATTAATTCAATTATAATGAAATTTTCTAAAATGTATAAGAAATAGTAATAAAAAAAAAAATTGAATTATTTTTATTTCACTGAAAATAACTAATTAAACAAACATAATGAATAAGAGTGGTGTCACAATGATATTTACATAACTTGTGCAGTATCAAAAATAATAAATATTTTTTTATACTACTTTTAATCTTTAACATAAGTTATATTATCAAAAAGTTAATAAGAATAAAATGTATTTATATATTTTTTAAATTTTATTCATAATTGGACATAAATTGTATTTTTTTATTTAGAAAAATTGATTAATATAAAATTTTTAATTGAAAAATTTCCTTATAATATAGTTATACAATTATATCAATATTTTTCACTTACGAAAATGGTATTTTAAAGGCTGATCCTAAAGCAGACTTGATTGGACTCTGTTGGTAATCTTGTTCGGTAGCTCCGTGGGTTGGCAAGGTGGAGGATCTCTGCAGGTGTTTGTCAACTTTACCTACATCTTCACTATATGTAGCACTGCGATGCATACTACCCCATTCTTGAAATAATACAGGTGAGCCACTACGATCAAGTTCAATACCTGATCGTACTCGAGGAACAGTAACCGATGGTTTAGGGGTAGGTTCTAAAGGTTCTTGAAATGCCCCCAAAGGATCATTTTCAAATACAGGTGTACGTTGAGCTGGTTCAGCAAATCGACTAGGGGTATTTTCTTCATTTAAATTTTCTAAAGAAGACTCAAAGGACTTTAGATCATCAAAAACAAGTTTCTTAGATATGCCATTGGTTTTTTTAAACTGAGTTTGGTATTTGAGATCTTTAAGATTTTTCAAAATTTGAGCATCATTACCAAAACTTTTTGATCTAAAAATATAAATAATTATATAAAGCAGTGATAATGAACACTGTCCATTGATTACTTATATTGTAAACTATAATAATGAAATTGCTAACCGTTTTAATAATTTCAATAATTCAGATGATGAATCATTGGATGAATTATGTAATGTATGATGATAATGATGTCTTCTTGGAGACATTTGAGAACGAACTTCATCAGTAAGAGATCCACTACGACCTCTGAAAAAAAATATTAATACTATCTAGCTTTTCAAATTAAATCCCAGGAAAGCCAATTTTTTAATGTAATTAAATTTTTTAAATAAGGACCATTATTATTTAAATTTTTATGTTAAACTGTATATTTAAAAGATACCTGATATAAAATAAATATTTTTATTAATACTAGCAAACTTGACATTTTATTTTTACAATACTTACATTTTACTTTAAAACTAGACTACGAATCATTCAATTTCTCAAAAGTTCTACGCTATAATCTACTAGATAAAAAAATTACCTGATAATTTGTAAGTTAATAATAAAACGAATTGGTAATACTGCTGGTATTGGGGTAAAATTAAAAAAATAAGTCTTAAATACTAACCTTTTTAAATCAGAATCACTTTCAATAGATATTGAATCACTATTTTGCTTTGAACAGGCTGAGTTTGGTCTAGAACATGTAGTTGTCATTAAAAGACCAGCACTGCTTTCAACTATGTACGAGAAAAAAAATAAAATATACAAATCATTTATGTGTTATTAAAAATAAAATAATTTTAATTTTAATATTTCACAAATTATGATTAATTTAAAACTTACATTGTTGTGAACTCCAAGACTGATCATCTTCTGTAGATAAGGACATTTGTTTGACAATGTTTGTAGGACGACTCCTCAACCCAAAATTGGATTCTACATTTATTGATAATTTCCTAGGAGCTGTAAATCAAAAGTATAGTAAATTTAATCCATAAATATTATTTACCTTAAAATGTTTACCATATTTCATACTTTATAAATAATATGTGTTTAATACTTTAATATACATATATATATATATATAATTTATTACATTTAACTATATTAAATTAATATAAATTTGATAATACAACAATATATATTATGTATTTAATATATATTTATTTTTGATATTATATAATTATATTTATATTTGATAAAGTATATACAATGAAATACTTTTTTCAAGTATGATATTTGAAATAAATTAGCTAAAAATTAAAATGTATACTTATATTATGATTTTTAATTTTAAATTATTAAATAGAAATTAAACAAATTTATAGAATAATTTAAAAGTAAAAATAAGAGCCTGTATAATAAAAATATCTATTAAAATATATAAAAATGTAAGTAAAATACATTTTTATAAGAATAAAATTAACTTTTATTATATTTAACTTACTATTTGATACTGAAGGTAATTTTTCAACTGTTGACAAACTTTCTAATGAAGTATGTGAAGTTTTATCCTCATCAGAGTTTCTCCGTTTTCTGTTTTGAGCACCAGCTTTATTAAATAATGCTGCGCTTAATACAACATTTCTAAAAAACATTATCATATTTTATATTTACAGAGTAATAGAATCTTATACATTTTAAAGTTTTGATATTCATTACAATTGTACATCAATATTTAATACACTATATGCATTGTATACACATATTAGATGTTTGTATTGTATATGCAATAGTAAAATAAAAATTATTTATAATATTGAATCCTTTCAAAATTAAAATTTGGTAAAACAAACCAAATTCATTGAAACAATTTCAATCAATAACAATAAACAATCTTTTACAATTAATCGTAAAATATTAGAAGAATTAATTTTTTTTTGTCAATAACCTGTTAAAATATAAATAAAATAAAAAATTATTGAATATTTCCAGTACAATCATTGATAATGAAATAATAGCAATAAAAAACACATTTGTAAGTTTGAATTTTTCTACAATCAATTTTCAATGAATACATTTTAGTATTTTAAAGTAAGTCAAATAATTTACAATGTCAATTTATTATCCTAATTAGCCATAAATAAATTAATAAAATTTAATCAGTAACAAACTACAAAATATACTGTTAAAAATAAGTATAAGAATATTATGCAGCCTGTTCTTTATTATAATAATTAATAACATTTTTGAAAACTAAAACTAATATAATCTTAGTCCATTAAAATGAATAGCTATTTATAATTACTAAATTAAATTTAAAGTACACACCTAAGTTTTTTCCAGAGTAATTGACTAGGTGTTCTTAAATCAGAAGGCCAAGTAGATTCTAATAAAGCTCTGTTATAAAAACCATAAGTTATAGCATTTGGGTGAAGACCACAACGTTTCATAACGAGTAACAGTTTTACAGCTAGCATTGGTTGATTATATATTCCACATAACTGCATCATTACCCTGTAGCAAACCTGAAAAAAATCATTAAATGGAAATAAAATCTAATGCAAAGCAAACAGAATTTTGCTTAATTAATTTTAATAATTTTTATGGATTCAGCTATCATACAATTTGGCTAACAAACATTACAATTGATATATTTAATTTAATGAGTGATATTTAAGATAAAAAATGTATTCATTTTTAAACTACAATTATTTTGAAGTTATAGTAATACTTGAATATCAATAGTATATATATAACATTTTGTGACTTCATAATATAAATAAATCTATTATTCTAATGGTTAAAATAAATTACTTAATTTTCTTATAAAAACTTAATTTTCATTAAGAATCTGAAAAAAAAATTTATAGTTGTTTAACTACCAAAGTATGACAAATATTAGAAATTGGAAAAGCTAATTTTTCAGTAAATTATAAGTCATAACACCTAATAGTGAGTGATTACATACATTCAAAATTATTTGAATAGCATATTTAATTTTAACTCATTCAATAAGAAAATATGCTAAATATAAACAGCAAATCATATATAGGGTTTATCAATCTAGAAGAAGCATTCAACACCATAAATTGGAACTTATTAATGACTACTTTAAAAAATCTGGCCTGGATTGGAGAGATAGAAGAATTATTATGGCATTATATGAATACCAAGAAATAATAATTAGAAGAAGAAACTGTATATCCTCAACCAGAATCCAAAGAGAAGTGAAACAAGGCTGTTTTTTGTCACCTTATTTATTTATTATATTTATAGAAGTTGTTCAAGAACTCAAAGTAAAATCTAAATGTCTAAAGTAATCTATTGTAACCGATTTTCTGATAATATCACTATGATGACAAATATTTTAAAAGATATGCAATAATCACTGGATACTCTAAATGAAATATTAAAACAATACTTTATGAAGAAAATCATGGTAGTGCTTGTAAGTAAAGAGAACAGAACCCCCATCATTAACATACAATTAGATAACAAAACAATTTACCAGGTATAACAATATAAATATTTAGGAAGTACTCTAATCAGTGACAGTTGATGTTCAGGAGAAATAAAACACAGAATAGTCATAGCAAAGGGAGCCTTCGTACAAAAAAGATAACAATTGACAAACGAAAACCTTAGTCTCAATACAAGATAAAACTTTGCCAAACCTACGATGGAGTGTTTTGTTATATGGTTGTAAAACCTGGACATTAACAGTACAAGGATAAAACAAAAATTGAAGCAATGGAAAAGTGGGTCTTGAGATGATTACAATATATTAGTTGGACTGAAAGGAAGAGCAATGAAGAAATTCTCCAAATAGTGGAGTTGAAGAATATTGCTATCCATCATTAAATCAAGAAAAGGAAAACTTAAAAAACTTATGGGACATTTGATTAGACATTACCAATATAATTGAAGAATTGATGAATGCAAATAAAGAGGAAGACCAAGGAAGATATTCACAGGAGAAATGACTTAAATAGCTAGATGCAATGGATATTTCATTTATAAAAACTATGGCGTTAAAGAGAGATGAATAAAAGTCAAATTTTTCGCTTTGACAAAACTAGCCTTTAGAATAAAAGAGGAAGAGAACTTAAAATTTGAAATATAATATTTTTATACAGTTTTCTGATTTGATAGAAGTACTTACCTCATCAGTTAATAGATGGACACCAGTTTTTTGAAATTTATTTAATAATTCATATGCTGAACGTAAAGTAGATGCAGCACGATCTTCTGATTGGAGAATATGACTAGGCAAGTGAATAAACCACAAACTAAAAATAATTTAATATTTAAATAAATATATAAAGCAAATAAATTTAAATATATTACCTATAGCAAGTTCCTAGTAAAAATTTAGCCCAAAGACCAGGAGACGTAGAATATTTACGAGCTAATTTTTGCGCTGATTTAACTTCATGTTTAGTACGTCTAGCCATTGGACTGCCTGGAATTGGTAGATGATCATAATTTTTAACTTTAAGATGACTTTTTGATTCTTTACACTTTAATAAATCGGAATTTAAAATAAACCCATCCTAAAAATGTATTATAAAAACTTAGTTAATATTGTTAATAAACTAATATTTTAAATTTAACATGATTTGTAAATACTTTATAAGAATACATAGAATCACAGGGCAAATCAGTCATTTCTGGAGGCATTATAAACACAGTTCGTTCACTTTCACCACAAGAGTCAAGTTCAATCAGTCTTGTATCATAGTTCTCTAAATCAATCTAAAATCAAATAATAAATATATGAATATTCAATAAAAAAAAAAAAAAAAAATAATAATACAATATTTAATACTTTTTCAGAACACTCATCAAAAAATTCTAAGGCAGCATCCATATTTGACACAAATGATCGTTCTTCAATAAATCTTATAAATATTTGAGTTTTTGTTAAAAGTGAGTAAAATTTTAAATTGTTTTTATCTCTAGATTTAAGAAAACCTAAACATAAATGGATTTAATAAAATAATTAATATTAAAATTTAAATATTTAATTATTATTGTCATTCATATCTACATTTTAGTTATTAATCTTACAGGCCAAACGGTTTTTTAGGCCACACTAGTTTATCCTAAGTGCATAAGAACAAACTATTTTTGTCCAATGTGAATATTCAATATTTTAGGCTAATCTAGTTTATTCTAAGAACAACTAATGTATAACAATTTACTAACAAGTAGGAACAATATTTTAGGAAAAACTGATTTTATAGAAATAAGAAAAAAAATAAAGGTAACTTTGTGTGATTGTTCGTGATTTATTTTTTCAAGTTTGTTCAAATTATTTCACAATGAATTATGTTTTTTTATACAGAGAAAATCAAATAAAAATATTCACCCTGAATTTGCTCTCAAGACCAGACGTACTTTACTTGTTGTTAAAATATGTGCTTTTGTGGCACTTCAAACTGCACAAGATTTTTTTCTTACACAGGCATCTATCAGTTGTATAATTTTTCATTCAACTGCACCTCATGAATCCTTGACCTGTCTCCACTGAATGTTTGATAATGGAATTTATTTTTTGTTGTTCACATCTTTTTGCAAGAAAAATTTTTACGTGCAAATTTCAAATTTAGATCTGATAATATAATATACAAACATAGAATATCTTAGAATAGTATGTAATTTTTAAAATTTTACCTTTTCTCTTCAATATGAAACTTACTTACCTAGCATAGAAACTCTGTAGAATACTATGTTTTGTACTTATTTTGTAAAGCCCATCATCAGTTACTTGAAGAACAATGCCAATAATATTTCTGAGTTCTTCTCTTCCTTTATCTATGTCGGGTATAGTCACATTATCTCTTACATTTGATGGTTGGTGTAGCTTATTAGAGAACGACTTCATCCTTTTCACTTGATTCTCTACATTTTCATAAACTCTTTTACCAGCAATTTCTATATGTTCTGATATACAACTCTCAGTGTCATGGTCTTAATTCTCGTAAATTACTAGAATGTTTATATTTTCATCTTCTTGATTTGTTACTTCATTCTCTACAAGTTTAAGTAGGTCCTCCTCATCATGAATATTTTCAATAGATTTAGCTGACAGTGAAGTATTCTTGAGTTCAACTATTGACTCGATTCCAAATATTGCCTTGTAAGGTGATTGTTTGATTCCAGAGTGAAGAGCTCTATTTTTATGAACTGGACATATCTTAAGCCTTCAGACCATTTAGTAGAGTTATTGTCTTTTAACCAAATAGCAATCATCTTTTCCACATCTTAATTTACACGCTCTACTGAGCCTTGGTTTCTCATGTATAATTTTGAATTCTGACCACAAACTGACAAGTTCAATTATAACCTTATAGATAATTTCTCTTCCATTGTCGGATTGTAAAATACAAGGGGCTTCAAAAGTTAGAAAAATGTAATTTAGATGGTAGGCCATTTCTTCTGCTCTCTAGCTCTCCAATGGACAAATTAATAAAAACTTGGTCAAATGGTTCTGGTAGACCATGATAAACTTGAATTTTTCATTTGGTTGGCTCTGGAAGTCAATTAAATCCACTTGGCATATACTATTAATTTCATGGTGAAGAATTAACTTAAATAACAATCCTCTATCTTTCTTTGTTTTCTTTTGTTGACATATTTCATACATTGAAAGATAAAGAATAATCATTTGTTTAGTGACATTTGCAAATTTCTTACTTGTTTAGGCCAATAATTTGTCTCTTCCACCATATCCTACGTCATACAGTTCATCTATAGTGAGGTTTGACAGTTCTTTCGGATCGTGAAATCAGCTTCTTGACATTTCCTATACTAAGTATACCAATTTGGTGTAATCTCCTTTGTTGTATCGGTATCTTTTTCTCAGCGCTCTCAGCCACTTACACTTCTAAAATAAGCTGTAAGTATTCTATTGTAAGTACATTGTAACATGTTTCTTTTTTCAAATCTTCTAATTTCAACACTTCTTCCAAAAAATTTTGCCTCCAATACTTTTGATCCATATCAGTTTTAATAGGATGGTATACAGTTAAAAAAAAAATAAAACACGGAATAGTATAGTGCACACACTCAAAGGAAAAAATATTAAACCGAGAAACTGCACATATATTTAAAAGAAAAGAAATACTTGTAGATGCACGCTCAAAGCAAACGAAAATCAAACTAGACTGGGAAGTCTCGAGTTGCCGCCTGCCAAGTAGAGACAGGTTCAAACAATTTTCAGACAAGTTGTTGTATATCAGTTGTCTACTTGTTAAAATTTTTTTATCAATTGTTCCTAGGATAAACTAGTTCGGCCTAAAATATTGAATATTCACATCAGAAAAAACTTGTTTGTCTTTATACACTTAGGATAAACTAGTTTAGCCTAAAAAACAGTTTTTCCTGTAACATATACATAGAATGCACTATAACAATTTAGTACAATTACCTTGTAAATCAAATAAAGAAATTGTATCTGTAGCACCAACTGTAGGTGCTTTAGTGATTGGTTTTAGATACCATCGGTAACCTTTTAATATAGATCCCATAAAACGCAGAAAAGCTTCTTGGATTTCTAATTCAATTTCATGCTATAAATAAATATTAAACAGTATTCATAATAAAATAATGTTGTCTAATGTAAATATATAACTAATATATTTATTATATATATTATATATTTCACATTCAAATTAATGGTATAGTAATTTAAGGTACAATAATTTATTAAAGAATATACAACAAAAATAAAAAGAACTATTTTGTACTATATAAATATATTCTGCATAATATAGAGTAATACAATTTTTGAAACTTTAGAGTTGGTTCATTTTAATAAAACCAAACAGAGAAATTTTTAAAAATTTTATTTATGAATTTCTAGATGTAGAATGAAAATTCAAACTAAAATCCAAATACAGTGAAACCTTGGTATCTTGAATTTGCAAGGAAAAAAAAAAATTTAACATATCGAAACTTTGAGTTACCGAGGAAATTTTTTATTTATTTATATTTATTGGTATACTTTACCTCTTTTCGTTTCATTAAAAAATCTCGGTCAATATTAGTTTCTTGAAAACTTTGGTTATTTGTTGCTTTATAAGTTCTTTGGAGATCATCAAGTTTTTTATAAAGCTTTTCTAAAGAATTTTTCAAAATTCTTGTTGGTTTTTTAGGAAGTAGTTTTGCTGTTAAATGTTTTTTATCTTCACAACTGTATAGTACCAAAAATATAAAATACAACATTAATTAGAGTATTAAAAATAAAAAATTATACATACAGAGTAACAGTATTAGTATCCAAATCAACACAAGTTACATCAGTAGGAGGCTCATATAAATCAAAAAATCTTGAATCAACTCCAATCAAAAATGGTAATGGAGCATGTAAAACTTCAGCTAAGCTAAGTGGACATAATGGAATATACGGACACTGCCATTTAAATGGAAATATAAGCTGAAATTTATTTTAAAGCCATTAATTTTTTTATTGTCTTTAAATTGTTAATAATAATGTATTTTGTATTTACTATATTATAGTACTAAATACAAACAAATTAATTATTTAATAATACTTAAAAATATACTTACTGTTGAAACAGCTTCTGCTACTGCTGTAAGTACATCAGGCCTTAAAGAATGAATGAGAAGTTTCTGTTCTGTCAAGGCACATAGAAGTAACAGAAGACAATTATCAGGATGTAAATTCATTATCATTTGATGAAATCCAGCACCACTATAAATATAAAATTATTTCTTATTATTATTAGGCAAGCAAAAAACCAATCAATTTTTATTTTTTACGAATGAAAATAAGAAATGTTTATAAAATAATCAGCAAAATTTTCAAAAGAATATTTAATAATATGAAGTAATATTCAGAAATATTATTACTATTATTTTGATGGTAACATAAACATAAATTAAATAATGGGATTTGTTATCAGAAGGTTAATAGAAAATTCTGTCAAATTTAAAAAATAACTATGATATAAAATATTTTTTAAACAATTTTCTAAGGCAATAAATGTATTAATAATTCAAATAAATCAATAATTTATTTTTCATTAGTAATATATGGAGTGCTTTTATGAGTGTAATAACTTTAAAACAAAATGTATTTTCGACCTTACGTTTTTAAATAAATAACTTGTACAATAAATTATATATACATTTTACCTTCTAGGAATAGGTAGATCTTCTGGTTGAGTTAATATAAGTTGAGTGTCCATAGATAATTGTACAAGTATTTGTGGTCTTTCTGGTGAAGGAAATGGTACTTCGTCCACTAAATGAGTGATATATCTTTCAATAGGTATAGGTATTTGATCATTGAGTGAAGAATTAAATAAAAATAATAAGAATTTTTCAAAAGTATCAAAAAAAGGCCAGTGTGACAGAACACACACACTTTTATTAGCATGTAAACTAATTCCTTTTTTTAATTCTATAGAATCTTTTAAGCCTAATAATTTTTGTTGTTCAATAGTAAGATTTTTATTATATTTTTCATAAAAAGTAATTGCAGCACCATAAACCTAATTATAAACAAAATTATAATATTATAATATTAAAGCAATGTAAATAATAACAAAAATACATACTTTCTCTGAAGCATCACTAACAGTTAAAACAAATGTTGAGAATATAGGATCGGGCTGACACGCTTCAACTGGCCATGCTTCAAGGGTAGCTCCCATTGGTAAACAAAATAGAGCTACTGAAGGTAGAAGATGAAAGTAACTTCTATCAGATTTAGGATATCGATCAGTGATAACTACAAAAAATTAAAATATTTAATCATTTATACACCAAAACATTTTTTAGTTTAAATTTATGAAATGAGAATCAAAGATCTAAGAATATATTTAAAAATAGTTTCTACCTGGTTTATAAGTTATAGATTTGGGTTTCATAACAGATTTTTTGTAACATAAATAAACATCTGATCCAACCATTCCTTTATTGAGGTTTTTATGAATAAGACAAAATGCATGTGGTGGTGTTTCACCACGACTGGTTATAACCACACATATATGAGATACAGCTAAAATATTACATGGTGCAGTAGGAGATGCTCTTCGATAGGTTATAAATGTACGTGGGGACGTAGAGTTATTTATATTTGCAATTTGACCACTAACACTAGTTTTTAATATTTGAGCATCTTGTAATACTCTTTCTTTGCCATCATACATAATACTGAAAAACAAATTATTAATATAATTAAAGTCCATAACTTGTTAGTAAATATAAAAGATATCTAATAAAATAAATATTTTATGCATTTTTTTTTTTTAAATATAACCATAAAGTTTTTGGCTAAAGAACACATGATCCGATTATTTAATTATACAATACTAAAGAATATAACAATAATAATATCAACATTGGGCAAATTTTCCAACTAACAGCTTTATTAATAAACATCTTTTTTTTTTATGGTATTTAAATTGTTTTAAACTAAAATAAAATGATGGACGATATAAAAAATCATAAATGTCATCAATAGTACATTAGAGATATGATGTGAGTTATCAATTAACTACAGTTTTATCAATTGAAATGTATGATTGATACTGATTTTATTAATTGAGATCAGTTCTAATAACTACAATTTAACAGTTATAAATTTATAACTATAGATTTTATTTTCAGAAATCACTTTTACTGGGATCAAAAAAATTAAACTTTTACAAATCTAATTAACAAGTGATTTTAGTAATGTATAATACAAAATATTGTACAAAATAGTGGTACAATTAATTTCTATAACAATTGATATATATTCCTAGAAAGATTGACTGCTATGCATTAGTATAACACATTATAATAAATATATAGGTACAGAGCATCTATATAAATATTATTGATTAATCTACTATCTATATATATATATATATATTTTTTAATGAGATGTTGATGTATAAAAATAATTGTATAAGATTATGGAAAAAAAATTAAAATACATATATATATATATATATATATAATATCAAATAAAAATACATTAAAAACTCCCAAGTATTCAGTTGTTTAGATTTATCCAGTTTCAAATATTTAGATTTATTTATTTTACTCAACCATAATATATACAAACATTATTTTTATTAATAAGATATAAATGTAAAAATTTAATATTTTAAGCATGTATGTAAAAACACACACACGCACACATAAAAAAATGTATTTATAATCACCCAATGTCAACAATAGGAGGTTTATCGCGTCCACGTTGGTAACATAAGAATACTTCTGGACTTCTAAGACTCCCATGATTTAAATCTGCCACTAATCCTAAAATGTGAATGCTTAATTAATATTTGTTTTTTATTTTTTTTAATTTCCTTCAAACTTACCAGATTGAGTATTTTCTATAAGAGTATAACCAGATGGTACTTTTTCACCAAGCGATGGAAAAACTATTGCTAGATCAGTAATTGGTGGTAAGTCCGAACATAAACTTTGCTTTAAATGTGTCGAATTAATATCATCTTGAGATTGTTCATCGGATGCACCAACAACCACAAAGTAGTCAACAACTCTTCTTTCTTCCATTTTTACCCAAATCTAAATAACAAGAATAGTATAACTTACTTTAAGTAACATAGCAAAATGCATATTATAAGTTATATAATACTATATAAAAATTGTGAAAAATAAAACACAATACAGCCTTGGATGATCCAAGGTGATTTTGCAATACAAAATATTTAGTTACCTACTGAATAGTTATGATTAAGACGAAATAATATGCAATATAATGTGTCGATGTTAAATATTTAATAATTCAATCTGCAATGTAGAATATGGATTAATAGCAGTAGCAGCCATTGCAGTGCGCTAGATATTAATTTTTAAAATTAAAAAATTGTGAAGTTTCCCAGCAAAAATAAAAAGCTCAGACGATCTAGAGAAAAACATACTAAACCGAAACGTGAAACTAGTAACCATTCATAAACAATTCAATTGATAAATTGGTTTTAACTTCAAGTAGCAGGTTTTCTGATAAGAATAATGATAAAATATTATGTGAACATTTTTTTTGCTATCATTATTGTTGTTTACCTATTTGTTCACTATATAGTAGTGTGTAGGATGTTCTATAGTATTACTGGTATATGGAATAGTCATATTTACAGTAATGTGCGACAAAACAACTGATAATCAGTCACTGATTATAAAATACAATTTACCGGGCTATTTTATTTTGATGTTTGTGTTCAATATATATTAAAATGTCAAATTTGTGTAGAGATGATTTTGATTCGGGTCCTAAACACATTTATTACATTGAAGAAGGTCTATGGCTAGGTAATAACAACAATAATTAATTGTGATTAAATAATAATTACAATATTTATAGTCTCGAGAAAATTAATGACTACTTTATTTAAATGTAATTACTTGAATATACTTTAAAATACATATAAAATTTGACTGGATTTTTAGATAAACTTAAATATTTATATAAGTTCAATGCCAATATTTGTAATCTAAGAATCAATAAAAATTCATATTTTGAAACTGATATTCGTATTATAAATTAATATCTTAAAGTAAAAAGTTACAAGTAAATTATAAAATCACATTAATATTTAAGTGTATTAATAATTTAAAAATATTAAATATCTCAATAATAGTAATATCATATCCAGTGGCGTACTTACAGGGGGGGGGGGTTAGAAAATTTGTTTTATTATTGATGACGTTTAATATATTCGTAGTTTCATTATTACGCTTTGAATTTAAAATATACAACTATACAAATATTATGATAATTAAATAATTATATTGATGGATGTCTGAAAAGTTTTGTTAACTATGCTGTTTTTATATTCCAATAGCTATTAATTTACTGTAATGTAAAAGTAAACTGTAAATTGGTAAAAAAGTTGTATAAAATAATATCTATTTATAGCAGTTATTTATCTTATTTATCTGTGCAACGTTAAAAAAAGATAACGATTATTTTTGTTAAACCCCTTCTCCCCAGAGCAAGATTGAATGTGCGCCACTGATCATATCTCTAATAAGTACAAAAACATTATTTTTCAGTGCTTATAATGCTTAGATTATATTAAGGTTCTGATTATATTGATAATTTGAAAATTGACTTAATTACTATATAATTTGTATTTACCTTTAGGAAACTTGACAGCTGCCATAGATTTATCGTTTTTGAGAAGCAACAGAATAAATAATATTGTGACAGTAGATTCTTGTCCACTGCCAGAGATTATTTTGGATTTGAGAGATATACATATTAAATTCATTCAAGGTAATTTAAAAAATAAATTTCTATAAATAATTTATTGTAGTATGTTCTGTATTACAATTTGTATTGCATTATTTTAATCATTAAACTATAATTTTTTTTAAATAACCTACTAATAAAAAATTGATAATAGTTATATAAGCAATAAGAAAATAAATTATTTAACTTCATAATTTTCTTACTTTTAGTTACTGATATGGCCGGAGAAGATATTTTGAGCCATTTTGATAGTGCATATGAATTTATAAAAAATGCTCAAGAAAAAAGTTCTGTTCTTGTGCATTGGTGAGTATTGTATTTTTAATATGTATAACAAATTTCATTCATAATTAATGTTATAAATTAAATTGTTTATCATAATGCCATTATTTTTAAATTTAATAAAAATATATTTGTATACTAGAATAATTTTTTAACTTTTCAAAAAAAAAAAATTAAAAACATCATTTATATTGATATTAATTAATATAGTGTAAAATTTAATAAAATCTATATCAATAAATGTTTGATATCTAATATTGTATTACTGCTTCTATTTAGCTACTTTGGAATATCTAGAAGTGCTTCAATCATTACAGCTTATCTTATGAAGAAATATAGAATAAATTTTGATGATGCATTTGAAAGGTATGTTTGTATGTAATTTAAATATTAATAACATCTCACAATAAATTACATTAAATTAAATCAATTTTACAGTAAAATATATTAACACATTCTAATTTTTTGAGTACAAACCAATAACAGTTATTTTAGGCGGAGAATGTAAATAAATCCCTTTTCATAACATTATAAGTAAAATACTTATTTATGTTGACTTATAGGATAGTTGAAATTGTTTTTTCTCCTCCCGAGGTTTGAGTTATTGTGATTTGATTGTATGTCCATAATTCCATTATTCCAACAAGATTTTATTTAAAATTTAATAGTAAGAATAAAATATGATTGAATATCAAATTTTTTAGACCCTATCACTTACTATCATAAGATTTTTTTTCATTTATACTTTTATTATTATTAGAAAATACTCATTTATATTCTGTTATTTACTTAATTTTTTTATTTGTTAATATTTTTAGTAAAATTGATTTTTTTAGAGTTAAAAATAAAAATGCAGCTGCTTTACCAAATATTGGTTTTCAAGCACAACTTTGTTTGTATGAAATTCTTGGCTGGAAAATTGATAAAGACAATATGCAATATAAATTATTCAGACTGAAAATAGCTGCTAGAAAAGTTAAAAAAGGTTTGTGATTTTTAATATAAATAAAATTATTAATCAATTTAAAAATTACAAGAGTATGATACTATTATAATGCTGATGAAATAAATTAATTATTATGTTATTGTATTCAGTGATGAGCATACGTGCAATTTGGGTTAAATTGTTGAGGATACTTGTTTTATGTTGATTAAAGTAACCTGTGAGGGGCTGTGCCCTTATCCTAACCCTTTCATATATTTTTATTGAATAATTATAAATGGTATAAAAATAATTTATGTGTAATATCATTTTATTAATTTGATATAAATACATTGTTATTATGATTTTGGTACTTTGACATGTGCAAAATTATGCATTATAATTTTAATATTATTATTATATATCTATATATTAATACTACTATTATATAAAAGATGTTTGAGACATTAAGATTATTTATGATTTTATATTTATCAATTTTAGTGCTTAGATCTCTCAATTATTATAGTTGACAAATCTGTAAATGTTGATTGTTCCACGCTTGTATCCTTTATTGTATGTATTATGTAATTTTTTATATGGCACATACATTAAAATGACCTTTCATAAATACCTGATCTTATAGGAATAATTAATCTTACTTGAATATGTTTAAATAAGTTTGGATAAATATCTTCAGTGACAGTGTTGTATATAGTTAATTTTTAAAGTATCTAGATAAATATATGAAATAATTGGTAACCAGATAATATGTATCATATCTAAATTACAAAAAAATTGGATTTTATATAACTAAATAACTCAAATAATTGTTATTTCTAAAAAAATATTTTAATACGATAGATTATATTGAACAAAATTAAAATAAATTAAATAGACAAATCAAATTTATATTTTTTAAAAGTAAATTAATTTTAATAGTAATTTTAGTATTTTCCGTATTAAATTTGAAAAGCAAACAACTAATTGATTAAAGTAGATAATATTAAATTTAGTAAAAAATATACATATATGTCACATAGGTATGATGATTCAGACAACTCTGTATGGTACTATAGTCACATAGTGATATGTATATTCACAGAAAAAATAATCGGTTTGGTCTTTTAAGATTTACATTAATTGACTATGTACATTCAATTAGAGGGATTTTTCCATTTAGTTCACAGTCGATAGACCTTTAACATAATCATTATTGAGTATTGACTATTATCTATGGTCCTGTAAAAATCTGTTGGTAATTAATAATTAATAGTTTCTTAATTTTAATGTAAATAATATTATTTATAATATTTTGATTCTATCTATCTAAAATATTATTATGAAAACAGTCTTACAAATAAATATACTCCTATATGTTTTAGATATACATAATATAACTAATACAAATATGATAGTGAAAAAATTAATAAAAAGTGGTAAAAAATTTGGGGATGCTAAGCATCTACCCTCAATATGCGCCTATGGTAATAATATTTTGATACATTTTGCAGAACATAAAAAAAATTTATGCGAAATGATGCTTTAACTGCACATAATAAGTTATATATTAACTTCCACTTTTGATATGATATAATCGTTACTTCTATTATTCCATCTTTTATATTTTCATTATTAAAATACTTTAACCAAGTATTTTAAATACTTACTTGATAAGTAATTATACATTAATATTTTTGTTACAGTTAAAATTTTACCACAAGACTGCATTGATGTAATTAAAGGAGATCCATCTTTAATATCAGCTAGACCAGATCCAAAAGTTTATCGATGTCGTAAATGCAGGTATAATTAATATATTTATTTTTTCAAACATTTATGTATATGATGTACGTAAAAAGTCCTTTTTTTTATTTGTTTTAGGAGAATTGTTGCTTTACAATCAAATGTGTTACCACATATTATTAATGAAAAATTGTCATGGAAAGATTCAAAATGGTCTTCAAATTATTCTGACTTTCAGCTATGTTCAGAAACTATCTTTGTTGAACCAATGTCTTGGATGTCAGTAAACCATTCAGAAAATGGAAAAATTAATTGTCCAAAATGTTGTTCTAAATTAGGCTCATATAGTTGGACTATGGGATGTCAATGCCAATGCGGTGCCAAAGTTTCTCCAGCATTTTATTTTGTGCCATCAAAAATAGATTACAGTGGGTTTTTACAAAATGTTCAGGCTACTGTTTAAAAACTATTATATTTGCTTTAATGTTATTAAATAATTAATAATTAAAAGCAGTAAATTTAATATCCACATAACTAAAAGATATTCTATCTTAAATGAATGTTATAGTTAGACTGACGGATTGTTTTTAATTGATCTTAACTTTTCAAGTTAAAAATGCTCAGTGATAATATTTTTAATTATATACTACATATATAATTATTTTAGCTATTTTCCAATATATTTATTATCACCAAGATACCTATATTTTCCCCGTCTAAACATTTTAATAACTCAATACATCATAATCATCTCTAATTTAACATTTTGAATATTTTTTGGAACTACCTAATTCAGGTTTATTATTTTATTAGATTTTAATTTGTTTTTCATTTAACTTATAAGTTATGAATAATTATGTTCTTCCCGATTTTGCATATATAACATTTGTTATTTAAGAAAATTTTGATATATTATGTAACCAACCATACCATATTATAAATTAATAAGACTTATAGATAAACAATAAATTAATTTTAAGAATTTATTTAATTTTTTATGTTGAAAAACAAATTTCAAATATTAACCATTGTTATAAATATTTTTTGTAATTTAATATTTACTATAAAATTGCATTTATATTGTTACATTACATTATTTTTAATCAACTATTAATAAATTATTAACTTTTAGTAATAAAACAAATATTAGTTTGTTAATTATTATATTTTACTCATCATTTACACAGTTTAAAATTATAAAACTATTTTGTCAGGTTCTGAATGCAATACTTGTACTTGGAGGTATTTGATTTAACTGAACATTTTATATAACTATTTCCATTAATTATAGAATAAATTACATGATAGTTTATTTTATAATTAATGTTTTGCCAAAGATATAAATTTACTTACTTTAATACTGTTGTGTTTAAGCTTAAACATAATTTTAGGTTAGTCTGGTATATATACATTTATTGTTAATAATATTACGATTCACCTAATAAACGTGTAGTATAAATAACCTCTTTTCGGTATCAAATAATTATGTGAAATTTGTGAATGCCTTTAAAATAAATAACTAGAGATGAATATAAGCATTTAGAAAAACTCACTTCTGTATCTTACAAATAAACAGCAAATCTATTTACAGTAAAAATTTTGATCATAATCATAACTCGATAATATTAAAACTAACAACATAAAAATTTTTTTTATGAAACACAGATTTACTATGTTGTATATTTATAAGTCAAATATTATGCATGTGGTATTCTAAATATAAACTATAAACCCTGTATTAAGTAACATAGTTAACCAATTTACTTTTGATTTTTCTTAAGTGATATAATATTAATAATATATTAAGTTGACTTGAAAAAATTATATCTTTTCAAATTTTTATTTGATAAAAAAAAATGCTTAACATTAACTTTGAATTTCCATATTATATACTTGCATAATTTTCAAAGAAAATTTTAAATTAAATAAAAACAAAAGTATTTATTTATAATATATTTAATTTATACAAAAAAAAATAAATACAAATAACAATCAAAAATGAATTTTAAGTATGGTTTTTTTGACTCCATCTGTACTTGACCATACAGTATCACTAATCATTTTAGTTGATTTTAAACAATGTACAAATTCATTTATTGAACCACCTACACCGAAGTAATAATTTTTAGCAATTAATAAAACACATCCAGATGGTTTTAATTTTTTTTCAAATAAATTTATAAGTTTCTTATAGTTACTTAAATTGTATATAGTTTCTGATGTTAAAATTAGGTCGTAAGTATCTTCATTGAATACATTAAATGATTCCCAATCACCTGAATAATACTTACAAGCTTTTATTTTTTCTTCACAGTTTAATAATACATTATTCATAGTTGTTCTGATTAATACTTCTTTGTTGTAATCTTGAAAATCAACATTTTGAGCACCAGCAATCAATGTGAAGATGCCCAAAAGACCAGTTCCACAACCCAAATCCAAAACTGATTTTCCATCAAAATATGTAGTGTGTTTACTCAAATATTCTAAGAGATCCAAGGTACACTCCCAAAGTTTATATCCACCTTCATATATACCAGGAATAAGATCTGAATCGATGCTAGTGGAAAATGTCTGACCAAGTTTTAATTGCCGGTCCCCTACATTCAAGATTGTATATGGCAAAGGAAATAATGTATTAGGTACATTCAGTTCATCTGTTTCAATCACCTGATTTTCAGGTAATGTAGATGTATCCATGTCATCTTTATTAAAATTGAATTTAAACATTTTTAAACAGCAATGTTATCTGAAAAAAAACTTAAAAGGTTAATAAGAGCAATAATTAATTTTAAACAATAAACAATATTATAAAACCTAAATTTAAATATGTGTTCAGGGTGAAATAAAGAAATATTTATACTTTTGCTAAAATAATACAAAAATAATAAAATTTATTGAATAATAATCAAATTCTCATTCCAAAGGAAAATTTATAAACAATTAAAATGAATTTAAGAAACTTATACTTATTGAGTACAAGATTTACAGAAGTAATTATATAGATTTTATGAAAAATATCTAGAAAGTAAATTTGAAACCGCAGAAACATTCCATGACACTTAACAATTAAATGCATATTAGAACTGTTTAAAATGAACACCTAATGCAAATTTAATAACCAGATCACTTGAACTTAGTAAAATTATTCTTAGACAAACTAAAGTCTCAAATTAAATTTATTTAAAAATACTGTATTTTAAAATATATACCAAACTAGTAATGCATAATATTTTTAGAACTGATAAACAAAAAGCTATAATAAAGCAAACCATTAGATTTGGGTAGGAACATTTAAATATTCAGTACAAACGAATGTCTTGTTAAATATAAAAATTATATTATTTATTATTATACTGTTAGTATAAAAATATTAGGTTCAACACAAATGTACAATATTTAATAAGGAAAAGCAATAAATTAATTAATTGTTACATTGAATGTAAGAAATTATAATATTTTTTTTATAGCAATAAAATTTAATAATGAATCTATTAATGCAGAAATCATATTACTTGATGATTTTCATTTATATTTATTGACATTTCAAATAAGCTAAAATTAATTTAATTTTAAACGAATGCACATATTATTATCCACAATGCCTTATCGCTGTTGCACATAGTATATAATACTGATATCAATAATCATGCATAATATACAGTGATGCCACTTGTAAATCTTCGTTATATAACTTAACGGTATGAATAACTGGGAATTGTAAAGAAAATTTATCCAAGTACAATATATTTTATAAATAATCATTTTTTATAAAATTGATCAAATTGAAATTGATAAATTTAATTTTTAGCATATTAATAGTATATATATGTATAAAAAAACTAAAGAAAGGTTTGCACTGTTGATTGTAAGTGTATTAATTGTATAATCGATTTGCTAAAATTTGTAAGTGATGGCATTCGAAAAATGATTCTAAACAGACTGATGTGTATATGTATACTTATATTTGTAATTAATATTGGTAGTATTAAATCTCAAAATTGAAAATAATAAATGATTGCAGGGTATACAATTGTAAACATAGAGCCTTGTTTCTAAAAAATATAAAAGATAAATAAAAATCCCAACATATTTGGTCTTTAAATGTATATTACGTAATTTCGTGTTACATTATGATTTTTATTATATTTTTATATTCAGTCCCAGACATTTTTAATTATTTTTGAAACACAAATTATATACCTACTTTTAATAACAATTTAATATGTGAATGAAATTAAAAAATACCATGCTTCAAAAGAAATTAAATAGCTTTCAATGACAGAGCAAGAAATTGCTATAAATTAAAATCCCATAGACATTATTGATGTTATTAAAAACTCAACTGAGCGCAGAATTGTTTTTTGATCATGTAAAATTATTTATCAAATTGATTTGATTTTTTTATTTACATAAATTATTACATTTTTGTTTATTTACACTATTTAAATATATTACTGAAACTATTTCAAGTGTCATGTATTAAATTTTAATTATGAAGATTAATTTAATTAAGTAATGGCTATTCAGTAACTATTTTTTTGGAAAAAAATTAAAATTTTAAATTAAATAGTTGTATAGACTTTTGTGTGTATATTTTTATCAGAATTTTAAAGGCTTAAATTAACTTTCAGTGGTGATGGTTAATAGGCAATGTTAGTCTTTTGCATACCCTGAAAAAGAGGTCTGTGTACACCTATGAAATATATCATAAATAAAATAATTGAATGTATTAGCTCATATAACTTTTTAAATAAAGATTATAATTTGACAATTTATGTTCACAAGCATATGGTCACATTCATTTTCCAAGCGCTTAATTTTGTAACCAATCAAAGAATGTAATTATAAAACTTAGACAGTTAGTTATGTACACCTAAAAAAACGTTCAGTATAAATAATAAAATAACCCAAATGTATATATTAATTGTATCATATATATTACATAGAATGTAATTATTTTAAATTGCATTCATCAGGCTGCATTGGCAATACCATAAAGAAAATGTTTACACAAATCACAAAACTTGTATGATTTTACTTTTATGCCTGCATCAATCAATACATTTAAATAACCATAAAGAAGGGTGATTTGAAAACTCTATCTACTAATATTTTGCAAACTTAATATATATTTTTTATCATATTCCTATATTATTATGATGATTTAGGGGCACCAAAATAAATCATTTGCCCCAGGTCCTAAAAATTCTTAAAACAGCTCTGATAGGACAGAAAAAATAATTAAAAAAACAAAGAAGCTCCAAATTTTAGGCATAAATATAATTTCTGATTAAACAATTTAAATAATTGCAATATATTTTAAGTTATAACCTCAGAAAACTGACATTGTGCAATCATTGTTCATTGGTGGACTGTAATTAATAATTAACAAATCACATGGCAGGGTAGGTTGATTAAAGCTGTTGAACATGAGCTAAAAGTAATGAAAATGCATTTTAAAACACACATAATATAATAATTAAAATGTTTTTAAATTCTTAAAAAGTGTTCACTTTATATAAAAAATAGTATTTTATTTCAAATAATGAGTGGACTATTGTTTACTTTTTTATTATATGTATGTATACATAATTAAGAGATAAGAAAATAGGTAAATACCTATTTTAATATTTTATTATTCAAATGAAAATGATATTGTATAAAGCAATAAAAATAAAGTAGCCAATAATAAACAATATTTAATAGTGATAATTATTATCTAACTATAAGTATTTGAAAAATAATTTTAAGTAAAATTCAATCAATTGTTCTTAATTTTTATAACGTTTCAGATAAAATAATCTAATTAATCTAATTGAATAGATTTATTTTTATGAAAAATATAGAACAATTAATTAATATTATAAGAATATCATATAAATAATCTTGAATAGAAAAATCAAGTTTTTAAAACATTTAAAATTAAAATTAAGAAACAGGCATTTAATAATATAAAAATTTGAACTACGATTAATAATTTAATGACCAGTTACAAAAAACAACTGAATTATACTCAATTTATAAAATAAAAAGCTATCTAACATGTATAAATCAACTGTAAGCCCTCAAAATATATTTATTACTTTCTGAGAAAATTATTTTAAAAAATGTCCATATTCATATTTTTAGACCTGAATTAGTTACGTATATGCTAAGACATAAAATATATTCTTCTTTATTTGATTTTATTTTTAATTTTAATTCAATTTTTAATAAATTCAATCCAAATATAGTCAATGGAAAATTAAAAATTAATTGTAGCTAAGATAACTATTAAAAATAGTATGATAATACAAAAAAAAAAGTATTATAATACCAACTGAAAATTAGTTTTTTTCAAATAATTATAATTTACAATTTTTGACTCATTTCAAGAAATATAACTGTTACTCATACATGGTAAAAATTTATTTTTTGAGATTAATGTGACTATTTTCAATTTTGATTAATACTTACTAATTATATTAACAGCGCCTTAAGAATCTGGAAAATTTAATCTTAAAAAAAAAAAAAATTGAAATGTCTTCGTTTGACACACATAGTACAAAAAGCATTTGTGATATTAATAGCTGTTTAAATCTTTGTTATACACATATATTATTTTTTATTTGTAAATGTTAAGATTTAACATTTACTTCTGAATACTATAAATTGTCGAATCTTAAAATCAACAAGAATTTGAGTATATGAAATACAATTAAACAATACTAAGAGTAGAAAGAACTGTAATTCAAATCTACTGAAACATTATTTTTAAATATTGAATTTTAATATAATCTAAATTATTTTTAATTAGGTTCTTGTAATGAATATTAATTATAAATCATTTAAAATATATAGAATTTTGAAATTTTTACTTATTCTAATTTTAGCTTGATATATTTACACATTTAAATATTATATTGTTATAAATATTAATTAATTCAAAACTATATGCATTAAATATTTATAACATTTTTGATTTAAACACAACTGTAAAAAATTATATAGCTTTGATTTTAATTAATAACATAATGTAATACTGAAAAAATCAGTTGTAACAAATTAAATAAAATAGGAATTGTGAATAAAACAAATTTATAACTGGATTATAATTATTTTTTTTTCTTTTGATTAAATATTTAAAATATTTCTCTATAAATATGCAAAAAAAAAAAAAAAATTCCTTAGAGATGTAATGGAACTATAATTTTTTTTATACCTTTAATAGAACATTTACATTTATACATTAATTATTGATACTCATATAATATGAGTCAATAATATACAATCAATAACATTTTTAAAAGGTATACTGAGCGTCAATGATTGAAATATAAAATGAAAATGTTTTATTTAAGACCTAAAAAAAGTGTGGTTATTTTGACTATAGCCGACTAATGCGGGGTAAAATGCACTAATTAATAAACCAAAAAATTGAATCATGCTCAATTAGAAACATAAGTGTATCTGAAACAAACAGTAACATGCAAAAAGAATATTAAAGAAATACAGAATTTAATTTTTCAATAAAAATAAATTATAATACTCCAATAAAAAGGAAAAAGAACCAACATTTTAATACTATATGTAAATCTTGTTTAATATTTTCATGAAAATTCTTGGCATTGATTATATAACTTACTCACAAGATATTATAGCTGAAAACTATATTTTATATAATTATTGATCAATTGAAACTCATGGTTCTTAATATAAGTAATTTATTTCCAAACTTAAGCTTCAAATTTGAATTTTTATTTAGTTCATAACAAAAAATATCATAGGTGTTAATTGAAATTATTTTAAATAACATAGTATAGAAATTGTAATTTTTAATAGATCTTTAGATATATTAATAAATATATTTATACAATTATTAGTTAGAATTATTTATACATAAGATATTTAATGTCATAAGATAATACATTTAACAATTCATTAGAGCTGAATTTAAATTAAAAAATATATAATTCTAGAACTTTATCACACAGAAGAATACTATTAATTTGTTAAATGATAACATAGTACAATAAAATCTCTATAAGGTGGACAACCATGGGGAAGGAATTACGAAATGTCCACTTTAAGGAGACCCTATCAGAAAGAATTATTATTATACTGTACTGTTATATAATTATTGTTTTTTAAATTATTAAATTTTATATTCATTGTATTAAAATGTAATATTACATATATGTATTATAAAAGGGGGTATGAATGTTTACGTACAGTTAAATAGTTTCTGTTTTATAGAATAAGAAAACCATTATGATAATAAAATATAAGCGATATAGTATTTTAATCACTTAAACATATTCGATATGTAGTACTTTTATATATTACGTTAATTTATAAGGCAATTTCTAATTTTTATACCAGTTTATAATGCCCCTGTACACTATTAAGAGGTTATTGTAAGTATTGTAAATATATTTTTACTGAGGAATTTAAATGTGTTCACTATTGGGAGGTGAAAATTCACAGAGGTTTCATTTATATAAATCAATAAATACATTTTTAACCCAATATTAATAACATTTTGATTTAGTGAAATTAGGAATAGCTAAGTTCTGTAAACGTAAATTAACACTTTTAACACTCAAAAATATACATGGAACTCTACAAATAAAAACTTTAATATGGATAGTATAGATTGAAAAAGAAATATTTTTTAGAAAAAAAGATTTAGCAAAAAAGTAAACCTAACAAAATCAAAACTGAAAACTATTTCTTAAATTTTCAATACTATACAATTTCTATAAGTTAATAAATCTAATTGTCGCTAATATTAATAATCAGAGGAAATTTTAAGTCAATATTATTTTCAACTATAAACCATAATTTATTTTGATAAATTTTTATTTAATGGTGTTATATAATCTGCAGAAAAATATGGAGGATATTCTCAAAAGTACCATTGTCCACTGATATTACAATTATCAATTAATAATAAAAAAAAATAAATAATTAAAAATATATACATTTTAAAAACAATAGAAATTAAATTATTGTATAATGCCAATCCATCTTAAGCTTCATTAATAATTTAAAACTATTATCTGTTTTTATTAGATATAAAACTTTAAATTTTATGATAATATATACTTACTATGTTTTTTTTTTTTTTTTATCTAGGACCTGATAATATAAAGTTAACACATTATTAAATGGTATTAGTAAATTTTATATACTGTAATTAATTTCTTATAATTTCAATAAATAAAATGACTTTAGGCTCATGAATACAATATTCATATAAATAAATATACTGCACTGAATATAAATAGGGATGTCAGGTTAAAAAAAATTCTATAAAAATTGTACGGCATTTCAATTTTTACATAATTTTTTTTTAACGAAAGATAGGAATAAATTTAAGAATTTTGCAATACGCATAATCATGTTTAAATAATTAACACTGTTATTATAATTTAAAAAAGCTTTCATTACAGTTACTACACTGAATAAATTAGTACACGCAATTCTATTTCCTAAATAAATTAGATGTTGAAAGATCAAACAAAAACAAAAATCATAAAAAAAGGACACTTGGACTACAATATGAAATTTGTCATTAAAACTCAATTAACTAAATGATCCAACACTCCTAAATCTAAATATGATATACAATATCATAACTCTCATATTTATATATATAAAAAAAAAAAGGTAAAATTAAGTAATCATATATACTCACATATATATATATACATAAATAATTATTAATACTATCTCTATTCTAATGCAATCTGTGGAAATTATCTAAACCTATCTGTTTATTCAAACCTAACTTAGTACATGCTCTTTAATTTGGAAACTTTGCTTACAGTTCTGAATAATACTGATTTTTATTTTTTACTATTTTATAAGAATAATTATCACTCGCATTATAATGTTGTAATCAAGACACAAATTAGATAGAAAAAAAATTACACACAAATCTTTAAGCCTAAAAATTCCTTCATTTTTTGTCAATATAAACTGAGGAATAAGAAGTTTAAAAAGATTCCTGATGACCTGCATAAGTTTAAATTTCTGCGGGTTGGAATTCTCCTGACCCAAACCCCTTAGGTAACATTTTGGGTCAGCTCATACTTTTTTTAACCTGTGCACAAATAAAACAAATATTCTACTTTAAAGCTGTTTAATAAGTATATATTTATGTTCTAATCACAACTTAGAGCCAATAATACAACATTTTAGTAGGACCTTTGATTATATTTGTTAATATTTGTAATATTAAGTATTTATACATTAAAAATAATATTCATAAAGAATTGTTAATTAGATACTCTAGAATTTACAAAGGTATTTCAACCCATCTTTGATACATAGATTATTGGTGATAAAGATCATTTTATCAAAAAAACATATTTTGAGTAATAATAAATAATTTTTGATTTATATAAATTGATTAAAAAATGTTACTTACATGATTTGTGGATAGTTTAATTTGTGTTAATAATAAGAGAATTTCTATATTTTTTGTAATAATGGCTCCAAGCATCAATAATAAAAAAATAATTGAATGTTTAAATTGTAAAATAATGTTATGTTAATATTATATATGTGTTAAATATGTGCAATTTACCTTAAATAATTAGTATCTCCCTCTTCCACCTCTACCAAATGGTGCTCTGCTACCACGACTTGAATTTCCAGGACCTCGTCCAGATATACCTCTTACAGGACCACCAGCTCTTCCACGAACACCACCCCTTCCTCTTCCACCACCAAAGTTACTTCCTTCACCACTGGCAAAATTGCTGCCACTAAATCCGCTCCTAAAGTCATTGTATCCACTATCAAAACCACCTAGAAAATGATATATTTAAAAAATACATTATAAAATAATAAATTAATAATATTCAATAGTTTATTGATTATTATTTAAATTACTGTTATAAGGTCCTGGTCTAGCAGCTCCACCTCCTCTCAAAGGACCACTATTTCCTCTAATAGGACCAGCACCAAAACTTTGTTGATAATTATCACCAAAATTATTATCCCAAGCACTAGTTGATGGGCCTCCCCAATTATTTCCTCGAGAACTAGGACCAGATTCCCATGGATCAGGATCATTACCACCTGAAATTTAATATTTAATTTGGATATATATATATAGATTTAAAATTCTTAATATAGTAAACTAATTTAATTTATATTCATTATTACTTCTCCATCCTCCACCTCTTCCAACCATTCCAAAATTTCTCATTGTTGGTTCCCATGCACTTCGATTATCACTTCCCCAATTATCTGTAGAGTTACTGTTATTTCTAGCATTTACTCTAGCCATTTCTTCCTTACTCAAAGCTTTTTTAACATCAATTTTTTTTCCTTTAATTATATGAGATCCTTTTACTATAAAATTCAAGGATGAATTAAAAACAAATATTTTTATTTTAACAACTAAAAAAATGTATGCAGTAACTTACAACATATTTTATCAACTGGATCATAATCATCAAATTCAACAAAACCGAAACCACGTTTTTTCCCGGTTTCTTTGTGTACAACTAAAGCAGCTGATGTAACATTACCATAGGGAGAAAAATATTCTTTTAAGTCTTCTTCAGTAATGCTGTCATTCAATAAGCCAACAAATAATTTTTTAACTGTAGCCCCTGCTTCAGGTTTTCCAATGTCCTATTATAATATAAATTAAATATTAGATTATTTTTACACTAATTTTATTAATATTTTATTACAGTTTTAGGAACAGCTCTTTTGGGTTCTACAGTACGGCCATCAATTTTATGGGGACGTGCACCTTGTGCATCATCAACCATATGAGCAGCAGCATAAGTAATAAAACCAAAACCTCTTGATCTTTTAGTTTGTGGATCTTTCATTACAACAACATCCATAATTTCACCCCATTGTTCAAAATATTTTTTGAGATTTTCATCAGTAGTTTTGTAGTCTAAACCACCAACAAACAATTTACGGAGATGTTCTGGTTCTCTCTAAAAAAAAAACAAGTAATAATTAATCATAAAACAAATTAAGAAGAATATTTAATCTAAATGTGTAGCTTTGTTGTGTTAATAATGTTATAAAATGGTCATATCACAATATCACAATATTTTATTTTGAAATGTATAAAATATTTTTACCAATTACATATAATATTTATTTGAATTTAAATTTGGAGAAAAAAAAATGTGCATTTGGTATACAATAAGATCTAAACTAAACTAAATATAATCACATCACATAAGCCACAATTAAACATTTTCAATGGTGCTGGCAGAAATATAAAAGTTTTAAATAAACCAAGTCTTACGTGATCTTCATTTGAAATGGTACAATTATACAGAGTAATTATTCAAGGATAGACTATCTGGTAAAATAATAAATTTTATTTAAATTAACCTATGTTTAAATGTGCTTATTATCTTTACTTTATATACACTTCAAGCATATTTTTCAAACATAATTTAAAAGTTATTTTAAAGCTAATACCAACTATTGTTTTAAACAAAAAATATTTTCAAGGGCATTTTGTTACTTTTTTTTCTTTCATAAAATATAGACATTTGTATAATGTACAATAATGACAAAATATAATGATATAATATGAATAAAAATATTTATAATTATTTAGTTTTAATTAAATAAATGATTATATTAGTGTCCGTATAAGTTATTTTATGTAATTAACTGAAAAAAAAATTAATTTTTGAATACAATTGACAATATTTTAAGCACAGAATAAATTTGGAAATCTTTGAAATCAATTACTAGAAATATGTTTGAATAAAAAATTATTTTTTTTAAATTTGATATAATACTAAGATATCGAAAATCATTAGTGAATAAATGTGAAGGAATCAAATGAATAGGCATATTCTAAAATATTACTAATTCCATTTTAATAAAATATACAATTAATAGTTATACTAATTGTTTTAAGCCAAAATTAGTTATGATGTGACTATTGCTATGTTACGAACTTGCATTTAGAAGTTAAAGACAATACATACATATAGGAATATTAAAGTCAAGGGCAGGGCTTGACTGGATAGGCAGGGTACCAAAAGTTTACTAGTGGGCTAATTTTACTGGTTGGGAAGTTTTTTTTAGGTTTGGTGGTTTAGGCTCATTGTGTCAACAGAAAAAGACTTATTTTCTAATATGATTGCATTAGAAACTGTCTAAAATTATATAATGGTCTTTTAATTTTTAATATTAATTAAATAATGGTCTCTTAATTTTTAATATTAATATTAAGTGTTCAAATTCTCAAAATAATAGGCAATCATTTTAAATGAAAATACACGTTTTTTTAGGTTTTTTTTTATATCTTTGGTATATGTAAGTGGGCTGTTTTTTTATTTTTGCGGTAGAAATTTCTGACTAAGTCTGGCCTTGATCAAGGGGTAATCTTAAACATAATACATATTCATTATATATATATATATATATTAAATTATTGATCATGAAGGACCATGTAATAATGACTAGATGTAGATCATGAATAAAATAATATAAAGATAAATATATTAAAATATAACAAACAATCCTAGGATATGCAGACAATAATGATTAGATAAAAGCCACATCCTGGATGGACAGGAAAACTCCATATTTATAATTGGGAAATAACATATCACTAACCATTTCCAATGTTGAATAAACATGAGACAAAGAAGGATAAGGAGTTCACACAAGATTAGGATATAAAAGAGGATTCCTTACAAACCCATTTTCAGAAGTGTTTTATTCCGGTCATTGCAAGCACCTTCACGCCGCTTTATGAAATAATTATTTAAATTGAACTTACAATTATTTGATGAGTTAATATATATCTGAACAAAGAAATTATTCATAATAAAGTAAATATTTAATAGTAAAGTTCTTTTATTTCACTAATAATCATAAACTACATTAATTGAAAAGCTGTACAATTGACTGTACTTTTCTCCTGTTGCACTAGTCTATACGCTGAAATTGGCACGCAGAAGCTATAATGTGATATAATTTACTAAAAAATAATTTCTAATGACAACTATAGATGTATCCCATGATAACATATAATTTTACTGAATTATATGAAGCCACCAGTCACTCTAACAATATAAAAGATAAATAAGCTGTTGTTAACCTGTTTATTTTGAATTTGTTTCAAACCAATGGAAATAAATTACTAACATACAAATAAAATTATAATAGTTTATAGTTAAGTTAATTGAGACAGTATACAAGAAATATTATTGATTAATTGCGACGATTCACACTTACGTACTATTGAATAAAAATTAATTAATCAACAATGTAAATTCTAATTGAGCGTCATAATTATAGTTTAGGTATCCTCAATATCAAAATTTACAAAAAGTAATTACTTTATTGATAACTATAATAAATCTAAGCATGCTTCTAATACTAACGTTTTAATTGATTATAAAGTAACAGTAGTAATTATAAAACGTCTCCAAACACTAAGTGTTAAACCAATATTTTAGAAGGCAAATAAACCAAATTAATTATAACAGAATATGAAAATCTGAATAATAAATTAAACAATTTAAATACACTAGGTATAATAAATAAATAATCAATTCAAATGTGTGCATTACCATGTTTGCAAGTTGAACCGATTAGTAAAGTGGACGCGAAGATTAACAAGTGTAATAACACGTACGGGAATAGCACCTTAGAGTGTTTTGTCTTCAGAATATTAAAACAAATGAATACGTATGTTACAACTAGTGACGAATAAATAGTTATTAACTTCGAACGCTCTTTTTAATAACAAAATATGAAAGTCAAATGCAGCAGTTCCGCTCCATCAAATGCCGCAGTCACTGGAATGAATCGGAAGTCTTCGGAACGGAACATGAAACGTAAACAGTAAACACTAAACAACATTAGTCATTTCTAGTGATGGGCACTATCGATTAAAAACTATCGAACTGTTCAATAGTTTAAACTATCTATTAATATTATTTTAATAATAATCCATGGATAAAATCAATTTACTAAAAAACTAAATAAATAAATAAAATAAAACTTAAATTTACTTTATCGTGTAATAAACTACCGAAAAATTAAATCTGAGAGAAGATACAATGAGAAGGCACAACTAATTGACTTGATTATTTTTTAAAACTATATATTCGTGCATATAATATTCGATAGTACCGATAGATTCTATTGTTATCTAAGACTTTCGGTATTAAAAACTAATCGGTATTGCTCAACGTGTTTAATAGTTAAATGGTTATATTGAAAGATATTGTGTAATTAATACTGTCGTACGTTTGAATAAACACTGGGTAGCTTATTAAACTAACTATGGACTATCGATAGTTAAAATAAGTCGATATCACCCATCACTAGAGAAGATTATCCGACGCTGATGCTTGTCCGTAGCAACCACGGTTTAAGATATACCTTAAGATATATCTTAAACCGTGGTAGCGACTATACATACAATGCAGCCACAAATTCCGGAAAACCCCGCGCTAAGGTAACACTGCAATCTGCAACTCTCGTCTTATCAGCTATTCAATTTACATTGAAAATGGGCAAATCGGGTGATTTGAAGGATTCGGTTCGTTTTAACATTTAAATTCTAACGATAAAAATCAAATATATTCAAAATTCTATACTCAAAAATGGCCAAATGTTTTTGAAATTTTCAATACGTATGTGCGAGACTATTTTAGATCAATGGTCAAAGTTTCAAGTTTCTAACTCCATTAATTTTGGAGTTATGACTAAAATAAAAAATTGATTTATGAAAATTTCTGATATCGCAAATGTTACCGATTTTGTCAATTTTCCAGTATTTTTCTTTGACGCTTGAAAAAGCTATCGAGAATAGAGAAAAATGACCTCTCAACTGTACCAACTAGACAAAATGTATGACCTAAAAATATAAAAAGCGTATGAAGTTAATTTTTGGATCAATATTTCTACTCAAAAAAGTGTCTTCTTGCATAAAAAAAAAAAAAAATAAATAAATAAATAAAACAGATTTGTAAAACCAAAATACGAAAAATAATTATTAGTACAATAGTGATACATCTTAACATAATTATATCTGTGTTTATTGTCATTATAATTGAATGACTACCTATTTTTGTGTTTAAATCTAGGTACCTATGCATTTATGAATAGTTAAAACAGGAATGACAAATTATTTTTCGATCCCCCGTAAATCTCTTAAAATACTTGCTTTTTTTTACTAAAATTATTTTTTAAATATTCAAAAGTAAAATACCTGTTAGATTTTCATCATCAAATTTTAACACACGACTTACTGCTTTTTTACGACTCACAGGCGTAATTAAATGCAAGTCGGAATTATAGGCTGATGAACATAAGTTCTGAATATTCTGAAATTGTCAACAATATTAAAAACAATTAATAAAATATTAATTTTACCTAATGTTGTATAACAAATTACTTTCAGATGAAACATTTTGGTATTTTCTAGGAACAGCGTTTGACCCTAATGTTAGCACTTTATCTTTTGGGTTCATATACATATTCGTATCGAAATGGTCATCAAATATTTACCGTTGCCGAAGACGTTTTGGACTTAAAGAGTCCAGAACAATGTTTCCTGAATTCAACAAAAGATCTAATTTTGTAATAATTTGATAAGCAAGAAGCCGAAAACCGGGGTGTCAAAAATGTATGACAGATTTAAATAAAACTCTTCGATCTGAGAAGAAAAGTCCTTTAACAAAAATCGATATCTAGAATAGTTTTATATTCATAATGTAAATATGTTTGTATTTATATCGCGATGGTTCATCAGTTTTTCGGCATCCCGGTTATCGAAATCTAGCATATTTAATAAATTATACTACTGCCACTACTAATATAATACTAATAATTAATTATAATACAAATTATTACTCGACGTGAATAGAAAAATATAGAATAAAATATTTAAATAATAAATGCTTACTAGAATGGATAATCCATTTTTTCATATTTTGCTCATTGTTTAGAAATCAGTGAAAGTTTAAGTTTGGACAATCGCGTTTTTTACTACAATTAAAATAAAAGCACTTAAGACTAGAAGTCATGTTTATAAAGAGTTTATTAAAATAGGAGCAATAACTCAAACAAATCAATATTATTGTGACTATAACCATAGGTGCAACTAGACCAATAATTTTGGGGGTGCACAAATAGTGAAGAACTCATAGACCCTTGGGGGCAAACCCCTCACAACACTAAACCATTAATCTAATTACTCTCCACATTACACTTAAGAAAAAATAACTACTAATAATTATTTTAATATAAATATTTTGTTTTAATATTTATAATACAATTTATTTAACAAAATTAAATAATTAGATCTACCTACCTACCTACCTACCTACCTACCTATTTTAACATTATTTTCCTCCTCGGCCACCAAAGTCTGAACACGTCTATGCATTAGATATTAAACAATTTGTCTATACAGACATATCGTATATATATATATAGCTGGGTCCCTGGATACATAATAGGTACCTATTTTTCTCAATATACATTATGGTACCTACATTTTTTTTGGAAAAAGGCTTATATTTTTTGGGGGTGCACATTTTAAACTTGGGGATACATTAGTCTCCTGTGAACCCCCCTAGTTGCGCTAATGACTATAACAAATTACAATGGTCGTCGTGCAAAGCGTGTCCGGTGTATGACATAATATTATAAAAAAAACCATCGAGTAAGATAACAATTTATTTTTATTTCTAAAATTAAAATAATTCTGGTGTAACTACATATGAATAATATGATCGAAATAAATTTCGTGTAATGCCCAAGATGAGTTTATTATTTATAACGTACTGAAATGTATTCATTATAATCTGCGTCATACGTTTTATTTCACGAAAAAAATTTAAAGTTTATTGTTATATTTTATACACATTTTTAAGTGCATTTTTTGTTGGGTTATATAGGTATACTGTAAGTTGGTAGAAAGTCTTTTAGGTGTGTAAATCCATTCATTTTTTACCAATATGGCAATACATCACTGAATATAGGCTGTATTCGCTTAGATTCGTTTTTTGTATAGTTATAATTTTATGTATCATTGAATTCCTATTAAACACATCCATTACAGTGACTCAAGATACACTAAATGTACACTATACAGCAATACTATTGAATATAAATACTTAGTCTTATAAAAGTATTTAATATTTATAATCAATGACAAATGACAATACGTAAAACTAATATTCGCACACGCGTGTGCCGTCGGGGCTGAAGCTGCGGACCCGCGTATAAGCGACTCGTCAGTCATCAACTAGGACTTCAATGCATATTTTTTTGGTTGATCATGCACAATGCTCTCTAAGAACATAATTCATTTCATGTAACGAGAGTTTTAAAACTACAAATTTTATTTTGCATTGTTTTGCATATTTCGACGTTTTTTCATTTTTAGAGCATTTTTAGTATTATTGGGCCATTCTGTTGGGTTTTAATGCATATTTGTTCGATACCTATATTAAACAAATTTAGCCTATTCAGAATAAAATCAAAAGACAAATTATTTTCTTGATATTTAAATAGGTTTATCGGGTTTTTTTCCATACACATTGTCAATCTTTATTTTTCGATTCAGTTTGTATCTTATCTTAATTTATTATTGACTATGAAACGTCACCAGTATTCGATCAAATAACAAAAAAATCAGCTATAGTTACCTTGCAGACGTTGCTCGTATTACGTGTGAATGTGATTTTAATGTATTAATTAGTATGTTAAATAATGGCAAAAAAAAAAAATATGTCATTTTTAAGTTAATTTCATTGGCACGTACGCAGTCGACATGTGTACACTTCTTAATCGCTCTCCGTTATATTTTTCTCGAATAATACTCAATATTTGCATTGGTTTATTTTATTTTGTATCATTTGAACCAGTTAAGGCTGCTCTCTTGAGTAATGTTAATCGCGTTTATTTTCGTCAAGGACTCAATCCCTTCTGATCAAATACGTAAGTGTTTTAATTGTTTAAATCAAACTTGTCGATATACGATATATTTGTCAAACAAATCAATCGAACTTTACAACTAGCCCGTCACGGCATCGCCGTTCCAGCTCATCTTATTTCGTGACTATTATAATGATGACTAATTATAATGAATAGCAACCAGTACGTTTCTCCGATAAAAATTGTTAATCAGCAAATTGTCCAAAAGTCAAAATCGACTAACATTCGAAATAATTCCGATAGCCATGATATTTTTGTAAACAATAGGAATAAAGACAAATCGCCCAAACAATCTAAAAGATTAAATTCCAATTCATCTCTCGAAAATTCAAACTTAAATAAATTTATGAAAAATACAAGTATCAATCCTTGCAAACAATTCATTTCAAAAAATCGCTATGATTTATTATATCATAAAAACCCCGAGGAAAATATGGAAACCAATACTGATACTGATATTATCGATAAAAAACCACCTCCCATTTTTACCAAATCAACCATACAAAATTATTTCAGTTTCTGCGAAAGCATTAAGAAATCAATAGAACCAGATTTCGACTTTTTTTGCAAAAGTACCACAGGTGCATTAAAATAAATCTATCGACTACCAACTCTTTTCGGGCTGTTATCAAATAATCCTACGGAACGCTAATTGATTAAAACAACACATAAATTAACTAAATTATGTACTTCATGCCAAGGATATTGACATTTTTTTAATTACTAAAACACACCTATCACCCAACACTAAATTAAATCTCCACGGATTCAAGGTTCTCAGAGCTGACCATCTAGATGATACATCTCATGCAGGCTCTGCAAGCTTAATTAAATCTTCGTTACTTTTCCATGAAGTACTTCCTATCCAAGAGCCCTATCTTCAAGCTGCTATTATTTCTATCAAATTAAATAA